AAAGCAGGCCTGTTATAGTGTGGTGGGATAAAGGAACTTGAAAGCTATCATGGTAGATGCACATGGCCATATGGAAATGACAACTAGGACACCAGACCCTGTGTAGTGTGTGGTAAAAAAAAAAAAAAAAAATGCTCTTTGTTGTACATGTAATACTGGAGCATGGTTTGCTAATGTACAGTGTTAATGCAGCCTGTTGGATGCTACGGTGCTGGTGACTATTGCTGCCTTGTGTCCTTCATTGCTAGGATGCAGGCAGATAGTTCTGCCTAGTAACCTGTTGCTAGAATGAAGGCAACTGTCGTCGGATAACGTCCTTTATTGCCAGGACACCAGGAGGCTCTTGTACTACAGCTGAGTATATTTGCCCTGCATGGATATAAACAATGGCACAAATATTTACATGCTTAAAATGTGATATCTTTTCCACAGTGTTTATATTGTCATTTTAAATATCATATTGACAGTTTTTTACATTAATATTAACATTGTACGTTTTTTTTTTTTTTTTTGTTTTTTTTTTGTAGTATGAAGTGTAACAGAACAGAAACTACCACCTGAAACTGCTGCTTCAAGTTCAGATCAGTCAAGGAACATCTGCCACAATCGTAACTAATAACACCAAAGAGAATTTGCGCTGAAGACACAACGCTTGATCTGAAACAAGAAGTTTGTGCCTACCTAACAGCTACACAAGAGCACATCCCAACGCTGCTATTAGTCTTTGTTTTATTCTCAGCGCTGTACTCTGCTTTTGCATTGTGCAGCGGGAGTTGTCTTTCTTAGCTCGATAGATCATTTTCTCTCACTGTCTCTTTTTAAATACTAGCAACTGACAACCTTTTTGAAGCATCTGCTGGCCGCGAGAATTGGTAAATACTACTGAAAGTGCAATACCTGGTATTTCAAGAAGGTGGGTTTGCGTCATAAACAATAACTGTTCCAGGATTTCCTTGTGAGCTCACAACTCTTTGGTTGCGTACCTAATAATAACTTTTGCCTAATTACCTAACCTCACATTGTTAATGTTGCAATGCGTAGCAAGTGTAACATGTAGTGTTGCCAAACGCTTTTGAATTGGTTCCATTTCTATTTTGAATCTGGAGTGTTTTAGGATTCCCCCCCCCCCTCCCATGTGGTTCACTTGTGGGGGTGGGGCGCAACTGCAGTGACAAAATGCAGATTCTCCAGTACAGTTAAGCAATGGCAGATGCATTGGAGCTTGCAGATGAGAGCCACAATGCTTCATTCAATATGTGAGATTCAGACTTTGGGCCCATTCACATTATAGTGATTTGTTACTATGCGTTAACATGTGCATCATAGCATATGTCAACATGTGTTTTGAGGCAACCCATTTATTTTGAATGGGCTGTTGAATACGCCACAATGGATGAAAAAAGGCACTACCTCTTCTTCCTTTTTTTTTTTTTTTTTGTGCATCGCAACCCACTATATATGTTTTAGTGTGCTGTGATACATTATCTACTGTACAATGTATTGAAGTGCCTTTCACAAGGAATCGCATAACATGTAGCGCAGGTGTGGTGCCTTGTGCAACAAATTAATACATGTATTTTTAACGTACATTGGTTCAACGCACGTGTGACTGTGCCCTTGAGGAACTGAGTCTTACATTTTTAAAACCTACTAATCACTTGGATTTTATTTAGGACTTTAACATACTGCTTTGGCAGGATACTTTAATGTTGCGGCTCAGCGATACTGTAGCGTTAGAAGCGTGTGTTGCATCTGCCAGCTTCCTCCAAAAATTGTTCCTTTTTCTGGCTGTGACAAAGATCCTCTAGCTTACTCGTCAGATCATCCATCTGAAATGAGTATGTAGGTTGGGAGTTCTACTTCACTGGCTGCATAGAGAGGAGTGGTACCAGAAGGTCATCTTGTGAGGTGCGTTAAATGCTCACCTCGGTCCTGTTACTGTAGAAATTGATTTGTACCTGCTGGATCATACAGTGAGTGATATACTTTAGTACTATGGCTCTCATACAAAAAAAATCCAGTCACTAGGCAGCTTGTTCGTTCACAGAACACCCTGTATTGTTGAAAAGCCAAGGTGGAATATGGCAACTAAATGACAGGATCCCTTCATGGAATGAGAGTTGCAGCAAATCAATGAATTCTACAGTAACTAGCATGAAGGTGAGCATTTAACATGGCCTCATAAAAGGAACTTTATAAATTTTGTAAAAATGTCTGGAGTTTTGCTTTAAGGTTAGGTCAAGAAAATATCCTGCGAGTTAACCACTTCACTTTAAAAATCTTCATAGCCATATGCCTTAATTTTCTGAAGCCATAAGATCTTCTAAAGTATCTTTACTCAACCAGCGGGTTGAACGAAAAAAATCCTGAGATTCCTGCATCAACACAAGCGATATTGATGCAGGGATATCTCCCTCTGAGACATTGTTTTCTAACCGGAGAACTCCTCCCCATCGAATGCTGGTTTTCCAGCATGCCCATTCAAAAGAAGGCGGTCATTAGACCAGCTTCTGTTGTACACATGGAAAAAAGAGCAAAACAGGGTGCACTCTCCTTGTGCATTACCGTGATAATAAAGAAATTTATTATAAAATTACAAAATATATACAAACCAAAAAGGTCATAAAAACAGAGACAAGGAGTCAAAGATGCCAGTCGTGGATAGCAGAGGTCCTCGGGTAAAAGTGCTAACGTGTTTTCGGGAGTCGAACTCCCTTACTCGGAGCAATAGATCTATAATAATTTCTTATGGTAATGCATGAGGAGAGTGTACCCTGTTTTTATTTTTTTTTTCTCTTTTGCTAGTAACAAGATTCCCTGATCCATCAAGGGCGGCACCTCCAGCGAGTGCTAGATTCCGTGTTCTCAGTGCAGCAAGAAGATTTGAGTGCTGGTTTTTGGTTTCTGTTGGAGTTGTACACATGGACTGAAAGTCTGGCCTGTGGAACTGTCTGATTTCTGGCCCATGTGTACCGGGTTTAAAGTGGAACCTGAACACATTCCAGAAACTTTTAAAGTAGGTTTTTTTATTTTTGTCTTCATCGTGATCCCTGAAGATCTTTCATTATGGTCGAATGCTGGACTGTTAAAGTCAAACACATCAAGTAATGTCAGGGCTTGCATCTAGCACTTACCTTGCCCACATTTTTGTATACTTGTAAAGTGATGTGCTCCTTCAGTGACCAATAGGAATATTAGGAGGCAGGCAAGCTTTGGCATTCTGAGGAATGGCTGGAAATTTTGCTTTTACAAGAAACTTGGAAGTTGCTGCAGGTATATGCAGACACTTCTAGGACCACATTTGTGTACTTGGCGATTTATTATGTTTTATTTCATAGCAGTACTATAGTGCAATGGGTGGCAACTCCTGATAATTTTGACGGCTCATTAATATGAAAAGTCTGGTATAAAATTTGGTCTAGAAAAGCTGGATGTCTTCATGACTAAAATATGGCATTGCTCTGGTGTGCTTGCCAAACATCTTTACTTGGCTGCTAATGGCCACAGGACTGTTTCTGTGGCGGTTTTGTCATAGACTCATTTGAACAAAACAGAACAATTTGTGGTGGTGTTTCATACTCTTGATCATTGAGAGCACAAGGAATCCAACCCAAGCTGCTTGAGGGCTTTACTTGGTCTGTGCCACAAGATGCTTTAAGATTGACACTTGTAGTGTCCACCCAGAGATGTTATCTGGGTTTGTGCAGATTCACATTTAAAGAGACCTTGTCAGATTTTAGTTTTTGGTATCTAAACTAGATAGTGGGGTTTATTTATTAAAGCTGTAGAGTACAAAATTGGGCTCACTTCTGCATAGAAACCAATCGGTGTCTAACCTCAGCTCGGTCAATTAAGCTTTGGCAATAAAACCTGGAAGCTGAATATTATTATATGCAGAAGTAGGCATGATTTTGCACTCTCCAGATTTGGAGAATAGCCCCCTTTGTATCTTTGCAGTGGTACATTTCTCCTACATCTCCATTTGATACCTTCCAGAATGACAAATACCTCTGTCCCTCACTGTGTCTGGGTTCTTTCCTTGGATCCTGCATGCCCCCCAACCCATCAATTCCATGTCACTGCTGAGGCCTTCATTAATTTAGGGGCTTTGAGGAAAGAACCAGCTCACGTTTGCTACTGAAAGTGCTAAATAGGCTTTCAGATGCTAAAGTGTTGGAACAGAGGAGAGCAGTAGGAGAAATAGGTTTAATCTGCCTTCTGTTGTGGGGACTTTCGAAATCAGATCTGACAAGGTGTATTTAAAGTCCCTGACATCCTAATGTAAAGTTGCAGACCAAATAGGTCTTTTAAATTCCTAATGTTTGCGTAAATATACAAGTGAATTGGGGGAGGAAAACCTTTTGGAAACAATGAATATTGATGAAAATGGTTAACGAACAAATGCATGATTCACTAACTTTTTTTCTTATGCAGGGCAGCTTCGCAACTGTGATAAGACAACTATTTAGGGATCATGCTTAGTGTGTGTGTGATGGGAACTCTGTTGTGGTAAAAATGCACAGTAAAACCTTGCACAAAACCAATATATATAAAATCTTTTTGGATTGTCATCTAGTTGTCTGGTCTACTGCACCCATTACTCTGAATGTTAAACCTGCATCCTTAATGGTAACCTGTGTGGATTTTTTTTTTTTTTTTTTTTTTTTTTTTTTTATGTCTTGTATGTGTGCTTGGATGTGTGTTGCTTGTGTTTTCTTTTAATTTTGTTGGAGGAAAGTGCTTTGTGGGAGTTGTGACTCTTGTATTCTTGTCTTTCCTGTGTTGCTGCCCATCTTCCATCCTGCGTTCCTTCATAACCGTGAGTTAAATTGGCATTTCATTGTTCATCATAGTCCTGAACCCTAACCTGTTTACATACCCTAAAGCTGCCATCTTGCAAGCTTTTTGCATTTACAGCTGCATGTGAATTGATCAGGTTGTCTTGTTTTGATTTTGTTATATGCAGCATTATAAAATTAAGTTGAATCAGGAATAGGAACATGGCAAGCACCTGGAAAGAATTTGTTGAATTTTCCATGCCGTCTTCTCCCCCTACTGCATACGTTAGTGCCAACCTGGGCAATGCATCTCCTGTCGGACTGACTTTATCACCTTATGGCCGATCAGTAAGTTATTTCACCATATTAGCTTAATGATTTATCCCTCACTTTAGCCCATGCGGATCTTGTGGCACATGCCACAATAACTTTTTTTTTTTTTTTTTTTTTACTAATTTTTTTTTTTTTTTGCATTCCCATCAATCATTAGTTTTACATCCCATTTTTGTTTTGTGTAGCATAGTTTTTTTAACTTGCCATTTTTTTTTTTTTTTTCCTTTTTGATTCTGGATCTTTCCCCTTTAGTAATTCTCATGCTGCTTTCTTTGAAATGCCATTATTCACTCTTAAACCTTTTACCAGAGTTTTGTGGGGTTTTTTTTCTTTTTCTATTTGAAATTAGAATATAGTGCAATCTATTTTTAACCCTACTTTCCCTCAAGATGTTTCTATTTCGTGTGTGTATAGTTATCCATTCCACCTGTTTTGCCATGCAGTTTAGTAGTAGTTTGCTGTATGGCGTTCTAGCTATATGGTAGAGTATTGCACAAATGAGTGAGCAGAATTTGTAGCTGTATACAGGCAGATCTTTCAGAAGAAGATGGTGATTGTTCTGCAGATTGCTGTGACCATGTTTCTTTTAAAATACTGTATGTGGAGTACAGGGACTGTTCTTTTCCTTTTGGAGGATAGCTGACACTTGCTGAATGTTCAAAATATTTCTAGCCCTCCCAACTGCTCATTACAGAATAGTACTTTTAATACTCCCAATTGCTGCTTCGGCTACAGTGCCTTGAAAAAGTATTCATACCTCTTTAAGTTTTCCACATTTTGTCATGTTACAACCAAAAACGTATATGTATTATATTGGGATTTTATGTGATAGAGCAACACAAAGTGGCACATAATTGTAAAGTTGAAGGAAAATGATAAATGGTTTTCAGTGTTTTTTTACAAATATCTGAAAAGTGTGGCATGCATTTGCATTTAGTTCTCTTTACTCTAATACCCCTAACTAAAATCTAGTGGAACAAATTGCCTCCAGAAGTCACCTCATAGAGTCCACCTGTGTGTAATTTAATCTCTGTATAAATACAGCTGTTCTGGGAAGCCCTCAGATGTTTATTAGAGAACATTATTGAACAAACCGCATCATAAATGCCAAGGAACACACCAGACAGGTCAGGGCTAAAGCTGTGGAGAAGTTTAAAGCAGGGTTAGGTTATAAAAAAAAAAAAAAAGAAAAAATATGTCCCAAGCTTTGAACAACTCACGGAGCACTGTTCAGCCCATCATCTGAAAATGGAAAGAGTATGGCACAACTGCAAACCTACTAAGAGATGGCAATCCACCTAAACTGACAGGCTGGACAAGGAGAGCATTAGAGAAGCAGCCAAGAGGTCCATGGTAACTCTGGAGGAGCTGCAGAGATCCACAGCTCAGGTGGGAGAATCTGTCCACAGGACAACTATTAGTCATGCACTCCACAAATCTGGAGAAAAAGCCATTGTTGAAAGAGAGCCATAAGAAGTCCTGTTTGCAGTTTGTGAGAAGCAATATGGGGGATGCAGCAAACAGGTGGAAGAAAGTGCTCTGGTCAGATGAGGCCAAATTTTGAACTTTTTGGTCGATTAGCAAAATGCTATGTGTGGCAGAAAACTAACACTACATCATCCTGAACACACCTTCCCTTCCGTGAAACGTGGTGGCAGCAGCATGTTGTGGAGATGCTTTTCTTAAGCTGGGACAGGGAAGCTGGTCAGAGTTGATTGGAAAATGGATGGAGCCAAATACAGGGCAATCTTAGAAGAAAACCTTTTAGTCTGCAAAAGACTTGAGATTGGGGTGGAGGTTCACCTGCTAGCAGGACAATGACACCCAAACATACAGCCAGAGCTACACTGGAGTGGTTTAGATCAAAGCATATTCATGTGTTAGAATGGCCCAGTCAAAGTCCAGACCTAAATCCAATTCAAGAATCTGTGGCAAGACTTGAAAATTGCCATTCAGACGCTCTCCATTCAATATGACAGAGCTTGAGCTATTTTTGCAAAGAATGGGCTAACATTTCACTCTATAGGTGTGCAAAGCTGGTAGAGTCTTACCCAAAAAGACTTGCAGCTGCATTGCAGAGAAAGGTGGTTCTACAAAGCATTGACTCGGGGACTGAATACAAATGCACGCCACACTTTCTAGGTATTTGTTTGTAAAAAAAAATGTTTAAAACCATTTATCATTTTCCTTCCACCTTACAATTATGTGCCACTTTGTGTTGGACTATCACATAAAATCCAAATAAATTTACGTTTTTGGTTGTAACATGACAAAATGTGGAATTTTTCAAGGGGTATAACTACTTTTTCAAGGCGCTGTATATTCCTCTACAATACATGACCTGATTCATAGAAGTAATTGTATGAACTAGTTGTGTCCTTTGCTAATGTTCACAGTTTGCATGTATCTCTGGACAAAACAAAGAGGTTCTAACCCTTCTCGGCTATAATGGTTTTACACCAGTTCATTGACCGCTAAGGGGGGAATGCCCCACATTTTAAGAGATTTCCTCTGTCTTTGGGACTTCAAGGTAAGGGAAATCTGCTCATTGGTGCACAAATCGAAAAACTGACACATGACCATGTCTCCTTCACGCTTGCAAATGGAGCGGTTTATGATTAGCTGCGGGAGACCCATTTGGGGTTCCCTGTGATTAGCTGAGGCCAGGAAGCCCCTTTTAAGAGCAGTGGGAGGCTAACCACTCCCACAGCTATTTGTGGCCGATCACATGCAAAAGTTCATGCAGAGACTACCTGTGGATGATTGACCCTGAATGCATGGGCCTGCTGGGTCTCTTGCAGTTAATCAGAATCTGCTCCATTTTCAAACGAGTAGGGGGCCTAAAGAATCAATCTTCTTGTTTTTTAAAGTGTGGTGTGTTTTTTTTTTTTTTTTTTTTTTTGTTTTCTGTTCTGTGTTAAATTACATTTAAATTCACAACATTCAAATTCACAATGCATTGCTTCCTGAGCATGTTGGCTTTCTCGTTTAGGCCAAGTAAAAGGACTAGTCACCAGCATTTCCTGTAGACTCCCTACAGATGATCTTTTCATTATTGACTTAACATGCCTTGTTCCATTGTCTTTATGGATGTGACAATCTTGGTTAGAGTCATGGCTTTGCTTCCTTATGAACAAATTGCTCCAGCACCAACCAAGCCAACTTGATTAGTGGGAGATTGATCAGGAAGCTGCAGGAGAGGTGCAAAATATACAGGTGAACTGTGGTCCTTCCTAGCATGTTTGTAAAGAGGTCACAATGCTGTCTAAATCTTTTTTGGGCAGGTTTTCTTCCAGTCAAAGTTAATGAGTTTCTTATCCGCCTGCCATATAAGGTAATGATGGGAGGGCAGCAGTTCTCTTGTTCTGGGAGGACGTCATATGATGTCCTCCCACTCTTATCTGTGCATGGGCGCATGGCGATCGGCGTTGCGCCGTGTCCCTGGGACACAGTGGATCACCAATCACTGTAAAGAGCCAATGACATTCAGCTGTTGTGATCAGCTGTCTAATCACAGCTGATCACATGTAAATGGCAAATGCCGGTTATCGGCAGTCCTCTCCTCCCGCTGACAGCTTGTGAGAAGAGGAGAGCCAGTAATCGGCATTACTCATAGCGGGCATCTACACTGATCATCAGGGCACTGATGATCAGGGCAGCCCCATCAGTGTCTCCTGTCAGTGCACATCAATTCCACATATCAGCTGCCAGTCAGTGTTGCTTATTGGTGCCGTCTACAGTTCCATAGGAGTGCCGCCTGTCAGTGCCCATCAGTGATGCCTATCAGTGCCAATCACTGCAGCCTCACTAGTGCACATCAGTGAAGGAGAAAAATTACTTATTTACAAACGTTTATAACAAACAAACTTTTTTTTTTTTTTTTTTTTGTTTAGCAAAAAATAAAAACCCCAGTGATGATTAAATACCACCAAAAGAAAGCTCTGTCTCAAAAATAAATGATAAACGTTTTGTTGGGGTACAATGTTGCATGACCACACAATTTGTCATTCAAAGTGCGACAGTGCTGAAAGCTGAAAATTGACCTGGGCAGGAAGGGGGTAAAAGTGACCGGTAGACAAGTGGTTAAAGGAGCTTCTCTTGTCGCAGCCAGCACTAGCGTTGGTTTGATGTTAAGCAGTGACGGCACTTTATAGGACTCCTTGTGACAGTGAGGCTCCGCAATAGGTTGCTAGACCAGAGTACTGTGACGGGAAGGTCGCGTGTTCCGTCATGCCAGTTATCACCGGGTATTAAGAGGGAGGAGCAGCGAGAGAGCACTGGTAAAGTATTGATGAGCTGGGTTGGGGTAGGGGGTGCTGGCACAAGCATTCTTGTGTATGGGTTGGTTTGATTTGAACAGATACATGAAAATAGTAATCTACAATAAAAATTACTACTAAATTAAAAACTGCAGAGTCATAAACTTTGTACTTCAGGGTTTTAAGACAATCTTTCAGTATGTTTACAATCTGTGTACATTTTGCTTTTATCAAAGATTTTGTTTGATATCATTAATGTCGAAAACCTAGGAATGGAAATGATATGCCAGTCTTTAAAGTGGAACTTCATTCTCTCAATCAACATTGACTATTTTGAATCCTTATGCTGCTAGCATTAGTTAATAGGAAAGATGTTTGTTGTTTTTTTTTTTTTTTTTTTTTTTTTTTTTTTCTCTCCACATTTCTTTAGTCACTTCCTAGTTGCTATGTCTAGCCAAATGTCCTACATCCCAGGAGTCTGAAGGAGGGGTTTTCTCAGCTAAGCACACCTTCATGCTTGTTTGCCTGAACTAAGGGCTGATGGATTCCAGGAAGTAAATGCTACATTAATCTGGCCTTAAGACGGGCACAGCCAGATTTGCAAAGGGGGTGTTTTTCAAAGTGATTTCAGCAAAATAAAGCATGGAGGCATGACTGGATGGGAGAGGTTTCTTTTGAATAGCAAAAATGAATTAAATAGCGCTTTTGGTTTATGGTGCTCAGGTACAGTGTAGTTTCACTTTAATATTCTACTTTTGAATGAATGGTTAACATTAGATGCAAAAGAATAAGGCTATGTTTAGTGTTGAAACTATAATGTTACTTTGCTATATCCTGCTAACTATTCTTCAGCTGAAGAAACTTTCCACAGACTGATTACACCTCTACATTTTTGTGCATGTCTGCTGCAGTAATACATACATTAATCTAATGTCCACCATCTGGAAACCTGTTTACCAAAACATCATGGAAACTTGATCACAAAATGCTGTCTAGTCATATTTGTGTAAAAATATTTTTTTCTACTGTTAATGTCATTTTGGCCATATGCGTTGTAACCAGATTGTACAATTTTCTTAAGATTTATCAGTTTCTAGTAAGCCTGGGTTCATACATGTGCAGTGAACAGCCACAATAGAACACAATTTTATTTTAAATTTCATGGGAATCAATGCATTCTAAAATGTACCTGTGTGAACTGAGGCTTACGGCAAGGGCCTATCTGATATGATTTTAAATGGCATTAAATGTTTAGGTAAACCCTTGCCCAACAATAGTGTGTAGATAGATCTTGAAAAACATTTATTGCAGTATGTCCGCACTGGGTTAATTAACTTTTTCCTTGTTTGTTTTTTGTTCTGGTGATTTGCCAGGACAGTAAGTTTATGGGAGTAAAAATTGTCTGGCTGGAGGAGGGGAGCCTATCGCTTGACCTCTTTACATGAAGATGGTAACTGCTGTTTATTATAACTGTTTATCTGGCAAGATGGAGCACCTTTTTGGTTTCTTAGCACAACAGCGTGTAACAAGTACATTTAAAGAAAGTGTTACTACAATTTTTAAATCTGTCGGATTTCTACAGGAAACCAAGTGCACATACAGCATTTGCCCTTTTATGATCTATTAATATTTGCTGAGCCAGCATGGACAACAGTATAGGATAAATGTACAGCTTGCTGGTGATTTTTATATTCAAGCCTATGGAAGCCATGCCACACACAAATCTCCCAAATGTAGTGCTTTTATTTATTTATTTATTTTTCGTTGCAGCGACTCCCAAGTTGTGGCAATTAAGACAGCACCCAATCGGATTTCACTTGACCAGTGATTTTACATGTCACCAGAATGTTGCAAGTTGCTGGAAAATCACTCTCATGTGAAGGGCTTAATGTAATCACTCTTTTCCCAATCAGTAGACAGCAGTAACCCTTTTTACAAGTGTTCTGTTTATTGTTTTTCTATATAATTAAACCCCTGTTTTGTTCACACTTGACAAGCCAAAAGAAATTACATTTCTGCAGGTTGGGGGGATCCACATACAATCTAGAGATCCAGCTCCGCGACCTGTACCCTCTAAGGGAATGGCCATAAATTGGGCCATATCCTTGTGGAGCTTCAACCAGCAAATTGTTTTTTTTTGGTTTTTGTTTTTTGTTTTTTTTTTTTTAGTTTGTTTTTTTTTCGTTTGTTTTTTTTCCGATTTTTTTTTTTTTTTTTTTTTTTTTTTTTTTTTTTTTTTTTTTTTTTTTTTTTTTTTTTTTTTTCAGTTTTTCCGTTTCTTTTCTGTTTTTTTTTCTTTTCTTCTTTTTTTTTTGTTTTAGTGCACAGTGCAGCCACTGTTCAGAATAGGAGCAAATGCTCCATGCGCTTGTTCCCCCAGAGAAATTTGAAAGGATTTAAAAATTTTGGTGATATTACTTTTTAACAATACTTTCCTTCATGCTTGTTGTGAGTGGGCACTGATAATGGCACTATTCCAAGACTTGTGTGCTAGTCCATATCTTTGACACTTTGGTTGGCCTTGAAGTGGTATTTGGCATGAATGGGGAATGGCTGGTTCCATTGCAGCAGTTTTGATCTGTGATAGTTCATTTAATTAGCTTTAGATATTGTCATGTTTTGCCAGTATATTATATACAAAAACTTGTCTAGGGCATATATATATATATATATATATTTTTTTTTTTAACCTGGTGCTGCCTTCTCATTTACATATGTGATTGTTTATCACAGCTGTATGTGATGGAGAAACTCTATACTCTGTCATCAGAACCCCTCACCACATCTGCTGCAATCCCCATTACTCATACCTCCAATTCTTGCGGGTCTAAAAAGCAGAAGAGGACCCCTTTGTACCAGAGATCTGTAAGTTGGGCCATGTTATAAGCACACAGCATGGCTTTGCAGAGCTAGAAGATGTGTGCACGGTTTGTCTATAACACACTAAGCTTAATCATGTGTTTTTTCTGTTCCTGTATTGTGGTATGAAAACTTGGTATGTATTAGGATTTAGCAATAGGCAGTGCTGCATGACTAACTTGCTTAAGGTTGGGGGGGGGGTGCATATTTCAGTTGACAGGAAATTTAGATCTTGTATTCATGCAAATCTGGGTGGCAATGACCTCTATTCTCACTGATCATACAGTTGTGTTATGTTGTCTTTAATTTTTATGATGTCACATTAGTATGCAGTGATGCTTGCTGATGTTTTTAGAAAAAGGGGGAAAGGTTCACTTTTTAGTCTGGGGGTGAATGAATGTCTCATAGTTGCCTTATTGCCAGTCTAGTAAGGTTTTAGCGGCAGTGTAAATGGTCCATCAAAACCTCCTTTCTGGTGCTCCCTATCTTTTTTACACTTCTACCTCCTCCACAAAGCAAGGTTAATATCCCTGCATTATATGTGATAATGGAGCAGGATTACCCACAGACTGGATCTTTGGGGAGAAGAGTGTTTGGTGAATTAAAGTACAACTAAAGTCAAAACCTTTTTAGTTTTCTAAAGGATGGTGATGGATTTGAACACTTGTCAGATTTTTATTTTTTTTTGTCTTTGCCCCTCGTTAGGGAGATTCACCCTTTTATTTGTTCTGTTTGCCATTATGTTTGAAAGTAAAAAAATCTTTTTGGGTTATCTAAGAAAGTAATGGAGGGAAATTCTTCCAATAGGGACACTAGCTCTAGTGACCTGAGGATCCTATAGGGATTCCCTTAATTTGAAGGATTTCCTCTCACTTCCTGTTTTGGCTATGGGACAGGAAGTGAAGGGGATTTTCCCCAATGGGACACAAATGGTAAAAATAAACTGAAGGGTTATGACCCTGCCTTACTCTATCCAAAATGACAAACTAAGTTTTGCCTGTAGTTCTACTTTTTAATTTTATTAATTATGTCTATATTCCCATTCAAGAGATTCTCTTCACTTCCTGTGTGTGGTAACCAGGATAGGAGGATGTGCAAAGATAACTGCAATGAAAACCTGACAAGTTGCTAACCCTTACCTCCCTGCAAGGGTAGTTTTTTTTTGTTTGTGTGTTTTTGTGCAACCTGCAATGTTCCCAATTAAGGCAACTGGGATTGTTGTCACCTATTTGACAACTGGTGTTCCTCAGAGTAGGGATGCACCAAAATTTTGGTGGCTGAAATGTTTCGGCCAAAATCACCCCTATTGGCTGATATGAAAATAAGTGCCGAAAATAACCCCTCCGCTGCCTGCCCACCGCTCGGTAGTTCTCAGCCTTACCTGAGAAACCACTGAATGATCCCAGCACTGGGCATAGAGATAAGTGAAGGAAAGATGGCCTCCACTTATCTCTATGCCCGACCAGAGCGATGCCACTTCTTATTACGGTTCCTTTTGTAAACTAGGCTTTTTTTTTTTTTTATTTTTTTTTTTTTTTATGCCTTTACATTGTGAGGAGAGATGTGGGGTTTTATTGACCCCATATCTCTCCTTAAAGACCTGTCACTACTTATTGGCATCACAGGGGATGCATGCATTTCTTGTGATAGGAATAAAAGTGATTAAAACTTTTTTTTAAATTTCCCCTGTGCTCACACATAGTGGTGAACATATACGGAGGCTACGTGCACATATGTAACCAGTGTTCAAACCACACATGTGAGGTATCACCACGAACATCAGAGCACGAGCAATAATTCTAGCACTAGAGTGTGTTTTTTTTTTTTTTTTTTTTTTTTTTAACAAAACAAAATTTGCGTTTGAAAAATATTAATTTTTAAAAACTGTCCATTTTTGGTTTCGATTTTCGGCCAAGTGCATCCTGAATTTTCAGTTTTGGCACTAGAATTTTAATTTCAGTGCACCACTACCTCAGAGCCCTCTCTTTGGTATGACCACCTTGGTTTTAACTTGGGAGGAATAGTTATGCAAGATTTTATGGTAAAAATTTCAATTGCTAACTCAGAATGCAGAGGACCTCATCATCATTACCTCAACATCTTCTGCAGAATTATCTGATCCACTTGCAGCCTTATTTGTCCCTGAGAATTTGGTTGGGGAGGCTTTATCTGGGTAAAGTGGAGGAGGGGGGAGAAGCAACAGGCAGGCTCTTTATTGCAGAAGAGAAATACAATGTCTCTTCTGCAGTAAAATACTTACATGCCTGTTTGCAATCCAGTGTAGAATGTACACTGAACTGCACTTGCACACTTCAGTTTGCATTCTGGCATGTTCCTTGTACGCTGTAATGATTGGCTGTCTTGATTTGTCAGTGTAGGATGAGGTCACTCCTGTATAGGTATACAAAGACCAGCTCTCAGAAGAAGCTGTGAAAAATATCCCCTAGAGAGGTGTGTCTGAACCTAGTTAAATGTTTGCCTTTTAGTTCTGCTTTATGTCTCAAATATTTGTTGGATGAAGTTGTTCTGAGGAGTTTCAGGCATCCATCTAAAGTCCAGGCGTTTCAGTTCTTAATGCATTGCATGCCAACTTAGATGGAGTTGCCACTAGTGCTGTTGCTATACTGATATCCATGGGGAGAGGGGACCAATTTTCAGCTCATCTCTACACAGACTAGAAAAGTCCTTATACACTGTTACACCACTCAAGTATTTTTCGGTTCTATGTTTGAGAAGGCCTTTATTCATAAGTGTATTGTTTTGCAGTTGATCCGGCAGTGTCCGGTCTTAAAGCTCTGATGATCCCTGTACCCTGTCCCTGAACCCTGTATGTACCAGTATTTAGGATCTTTATAGATGAATGTCTAATAGACTACAAAACCTTGTTTTTCCAGGTAGGCCCTGCATTACAACTTGCCATAGCTGTGACCTTAGTGTGTCAAACGTCAAGGAAAGAACTAAATTCATGGAGTGCTTAGTTCTTGCTAACAACCCTGCAATACTGTTTAGAGAACGTCACCATCCTATTTTCCATATGAGCTTGCTGTGCAAATACAACAAACTCTTGTAATGAGATTCTGGGCTGCGGAACAGGCATGTCAAAAGCACTATGCTGTGCATGCCCTTTACGGCTGAACCTCCCTTTTTAGAGTTGCCTTGGACTCTTCAGAATACTAGGAGTAAGAGTACTCCTCTACCTCATCAAAAAAATGCTAGGCCTCAAGAAGACTTGCCCTTCATCTGAGACAGAGTTCTTTCAGTTTTCCCAAGCTGCATCCCCTGAGGCCAAACCGCAGCCAGGAGACCAGATTTACTGCAAAACTTGGGCACCTACATCCTCCCAGATCTGCAAACTGGTCCTCCTGAAAAGTGAGAGCACCCCTTCATTCTTGAAAAGGGTGGATGTCTGTTAGCCTTTGGAAATATTTAGACAGACAGCATCTCAGTTTCCCAGAGTACGACAGGTGGTCTGAACTGGCTCAAGTTAGTCTCCCCCCCCCCCCCCCCCCCCCTTCATATTTCCTACTTTTCAATTTTCATTGTCTTTGTTCTGAATAGGATTTCTTGCCCTGGTTCCTGTGGTGGAAAGGTTTTAGATTTCATTCTAGCCTTTTTACAGTTCCAAAACCAAAAGGGGGCATGTGGCCCATATTTGATCTCGAGGCCTTTTATTCCTTCACTCAGTCTCAAAGGTTCAGCATTGATTCCACCAGGTCTGCTATAAGCCTTCCTTCATCAGGTAGACTTTATGAACTCTGTAGATGCCAGAAGTGGTTTGCATGTCCCTAGTATCAATGGTATCTGCATTTTGCTGTCGGTCCTCAGAAATTCCTGTTCATAGCCATGTCATTCAGTCTGTCTGCCACACCTATTTTTATTCACCAAGGTTTCTGCCCCTGTGCCTGGCTTGTTGTGATCCCAGCTAACCCATGTCCCATTATATGGATATCTAGGCATTCTACTGTTAAGGGTAAAATATGCTTAGGTTTTTTGACAACAATGGGGCTCAGAAGGTTCAGACTGTCCAGGCTTGTTTGGAACCTGATCCTTCAGAAGTCTGCATTGGTACAGACTTATTGCTTGGAGTATGCGTCTAACTAATACAGGACACAGCTTGTGTGCCACAAGAAAAAGGTCACTGTTTTCTGAATCTAAATTCCAAGAGTCCACCAACTCCGTTTTTTGCATGCGTCTCATGGGGCTGATGGAAGCCTTTTTCAAGGCAATGCCCTATTTCACTCCAGATCTTCAAATCAACATCTTGTCATAGTGGGACAGGTTGGTTCAGTCTCTGATTCCCCTGACACAGAGCCAAGCTGTCTCTGTCCAATTTTCCAGAACCTTTCTCACAGGTGGAAGACACCATATGTGGACCTCCTGGAATTCAAAGTCTTCAACAAAACTGGACAAACTTGTCTCCAGGTGCAGAAATCCTCTGACGGAAATAGTGGTTGCTCAGTGGGATCAATGCAACCTAATCTTTGCCTTTCCTCCCCTGAAATGCTGATTGCTTCTCAGGGTTGAATTGGGACGGCATTCCAGTGATCCTCAAATGCTGCGCTGGTCTAGGTGGATTTGGTTCTCTGACCAGACCACATTCTGGCAGAATCCCTATGTGACCTTCCAGATCTACTGGTTCTTCTGTCCCAAAAATCTGTTTACCGTCCTTAACGGTCACTGGCTTTATTGGCATGGCTGTTGACACCCAGGTCTTGAGGGACAGGGGACTATCCAACTTGCTTATTCCACCCACCCCCCCACACAATTTTAAAATCCAGCAAGTCCATTATTTGCAAGGTCTACCATTGCACATGGAAGAAGTATTTGACTTGGTGTAGGGTGAGAACCTTGCATCCCAGAAAACTCCTAGGGTCGTGTCCTGACCATGGCTGTATCGACAAATGGCTGAGTACGATCAAGGATCATGTCTCAGCACTTGTGGTTTCATTCTGAATGCAACTAGCCACTCATTCACAGGCAGATCAGATCGGAACATTCATGTAAAAAGGGGCATTATTAATGTTCTGAGCCTCCTTCCTTTCCAGGGTAATTTTGGCATGCTTTGTTCCTGTCTGACCCCAGTACATCAGGATATTATTTCTCCATTGTCTGGATGTAGTTTGAGCTGTACTTATTTACCTAGCAGCCACCACCTCCATTAGAACACACCAATTTTCTGTAATTCCTGATGGTCGTCATAAACGGGAACCCCCCCCCCCCCTCTTTTTCTCATTAATTTTTGGTGGCTCATTAAATAATTTTAAGTTAATCAAGGGGAGTCTGTATCCCCCACAATGAACAAGTGTGTTTTTTTTTTTTTTTTTTGTACTTGCTGTAAAATTTATTTTTGGATGTTCATTAAGGTCACAATCCCAACTCCTGTGTTTATGGTCTTGCATTTGGCACTACAAAACTGAGGCGTGCTGTTAGTTGAAATGAACTATTCTTTAAATTCTGTATCCCATCTAACTTCCTAATGACTTGACCAAAAAAAAAAAAATGTAAATGTATTTTATCCAACTTTCTGGTTTGAGCATTTCATTGTGTATACCTTCCAAAATGACTAACCAGAAGTAGCAATTAGGTGCTCTGATTTGATAGCGGTAGTTGAAGCTGAAGTACATAAAGTAACCAGTGTTATGAATGGCAGCTGTTCTAAAGTTCATTTAAGTGTTCATTAGTCACCTGATTATCTGATGTAGTTGGTATAATGCAAGTTTGCAGATATTATGAAGACCAGAAACTGTTGCCTGGTTATCTGACCCTGGCTTTTAGAACAGATTTGGACGCAACCTGTTTTTCCTTCACAATAGGAAGTTAGTATGTCAAATTGTGGGAAGGAATCTTGTATTGCCTTATACAAAACCGAGATTTTAAGTTGTTCTTTATTTTACTAGTCAACTCTTTAACTTCCCCTATTTCTAACATTTTGTTTTGCGTGTTCACTTATTTGTACGTTATGCTTTTTGTAATTCATAAGTTCACATTTTTGCTTTTGTTACAACTGAACAAGCTGTGGTATTGTGCCATTTAACATAATTATTTTGTCTTTTTTTTTTTTTTTTTTTTTTTTTTTTTTTTGTTTCCCCTTATGTTGTAGCTAAATATGTATAACTGTTTTTTAAACTAGATGAGCTTTGACCCAAATCTTCTCCACAACAATGGACATAATGGGTACCCGAATGGTACGTCTGCATTGCGCGAAACTGGCATAATTGAAAAATTGCTTACATCCTATGGATTTATTCAGTGTTCAGAACGCCAGGCCAGACTCTTCTTTCACTGCTCTCAGTACAATGGAAACTTGCAAGAATTGAAAGTAGGAGGTAAGAAATGGTAGAAATTTGGAAAGCTACTGTTTTGGCTGTGCTTTGCTCTTTTAGAGGTACTATAGTCCTGCCCTCTCCACTCCCCTGTTCTAAAAGTATATGCAAATCCTAGGGCTAGCCATACATACTTGGATTTTTATTATTTTAGCCCTGTGGACTGAATGAGAGGAATCAACCTATATTCTCATTCCCCCCCCCCCATTGCTGATGGAATCAAACAATGTGGATGAAGGAATCTCCCCTGCCACCTGTATTGTGTAACAGCCCCAACACCCACAGCTGCGTGAATACCCAAACGGTGGCTGCATCTAATTGGATGCAGTCATTGTTCAGCCTTCAATTTTCTTTCAGTCTTCAAATCAAGTTAATTCGTGCCTACAGGACCAACACTGGCCCCAATTTTGGGCAATTTAGCAGGCATTCAAGCTGTGTATGACCAGTCACAAATGTTTCACCGCCTAGGTTTGATTTGTTAAATAAACAACTGAAAGCATTTTATTTTTGCAAAAAATAAGAGAAAATTCCTGAACAGAAAGCGTGTGTACTCTGCAGTCTTATCTCAAAAAATGTGCTCAGTATTAACTATGGCTGAGCGGCCATAGTGATGACCGGAGCCATTTTGGTCTCCTATCGGCTCTATGGTCAGCCAATGAAACTGACGGCTGCATTCTCTGACTCCCCTGTGGGACGGAAAGCCCAAGACAACCGTGGAAGGGAGTGGGGGGGGGAGGAAGCGTCCTTTCCCGCTACTTTGTAAAAATTATGCAGCAGCTAATTAGCTGCTAAAGATTGCTTGAACATGAAAGCTGACCACCAGCTGGAGGAAAAAAAAAAAAAAAACATACCAGGATGATGCCTGTAGCTGCAGGCGGCATCCCGTTATAACCACTCTTTTTCCAGCGATGTAGCAGTACATTGCTGGTCCTTGTTGGGTATATATACAACAGCAGAGAACACGGGCATATGATGAATATGACCACAATTCATTCTTTGTAATACCCATGTTGAAGGTTAGACCCTATTTTTTTGGGGGGGTGGGGGGATTTGGGTGAGTGGGGATTTTGTGTGTTTTTTTTTTTTTTTTTTTGGAAGATCATTACGCTGGAAGAGAAGCAGACCTATTATGAATCAGATTCATAACAGCCCTGCTATCACATGATTACCAGGATCTTCATTACACTGTGTCTGGTGGACACAGCAGTGAGGGGTGTGGTGTGCGCCCCCTTGTGTTAATACAGCCAGAGCGACATACAAGTACATTGCTTTGCCTGTAGCTGCCCCCCGTCCACAGTACATTGCGGATTGGTCAATCGACAAGTGGCATGATCTTGCACTACTGGGGTTTCATTTTCTTCACTTGGGTATACTTTTCGACTTTATTTGAATATTTTTTTTTTTTTTTCAAGGTTTATTTGTGTGCAACATGTTTTGAGTAATGTATGATATTTGATTTTTGGATAAATGTTAGTCACTTTAATACCTATTTGCACACTTTTGGATATTTTTATTGCAACGCTTAATACGACTTAATGTAGTTTCTAGGCCAGCACATTCTTTTTGTCAAACCATATTAACAAAGTGTGTTGGCACTACAGCACCTCTTCCTCCCTCATGTATGGAGAAGTTTGTGAGGAGTTTCTAACTCATCACCTGTCTAGGATGACAGCCTTGCATAGTGTTGTCACACTAGGCTGGAACTTGTTACTGGCACAATTGCCATATAAAAAATTGAGCCTGAAAAATGAAGACCTATTGGCCACTGCATCTAGGGGACTGGTAAGCTGTAATATTTTTATCACTGGTTTAGATTAACAAAGTACCTTTCCACTTTTGCAGCTATATTTGGATAACACTTTTTTATTTTGTTGCATTGTTCCCATACACATTCAAGAACTCGCTGCATATGTAGCAGAAATGAGACAAACCATTTACCACTGACAGAGCTGCTTTACATTGATCAGCTTCTGTTTATGTAAAACCTTTCTCCGATACAGAACAAAACAGTTTGCTGTTACTGATTTGATGAGTGGAGATGGAATTTTAGCTTTAATTTGTTAGTACACTTAAATCTACTAGTACATCTAACACTATCCTCCCGGCAGACTGACAATGCTGCTGTCCCAAGGTGCCTCCTGTGCTCCTTCATCCAGAGTAGGGGCACTCTTAATGCAGGAGTTGTTGCTGGCCAGATCAATAGGTGAAAACAGAATGACAAAGACTAAAAAAAATAAACTATGTTTGGGTTGAATATCACTTAACAAAGGCAGACCTGTTTGAAGTCCAGTCTGGTGGTGGTCACAGCATTACCAGGTGGGGGGAGGGGGCATTTGAAAATGCCTGAATGCAGCTACCACGTCTAAAGACTGGTAAGCTGTAATATGTTTTGGTATTTAGATACTTGTAATGTTGCAATTACAGGCAACAATTCGGTTTGGTGAACTGGTAATGTTTTCTCCAGGAAGGTAGACTTTTAGCATAGATGGAGAAATTCCCATAAAGCTCAGCCGGGGTTCACATTTTGGGAGGCAGGACACCGCGTGTAATTTTCACAGGAATGCACCGCATTCCTGTGCGAATTGCATGCGAATGTCTGTGCTGTGCGATTTGAGTCATACACTTTGGCTCAAATCGCAGCTGCACCAAAAAGGTGTAGGACCCCCTTTTTAAATTTGCACCTGAATCACATTGCATGGGTGTTCTCATCTGATGCGATTTCTGGCAACTGCACCGTGTTTTGCTATCTTCGGAGTGTCATTAATTTTATCATTGACACCTGTAGATTCCCTTGCTTGGTATTGGTTCCAAAATGGAGAGGATACTAAAAACCTAGTTTTGAGTTTGCAGGGCAATGATAAAGATTTAAAGCCATGATGAAAAGTAGAACTATTGTATATGCAGGGTGTGTGCTTTGATCTTTCTATAATGCAAAATGTTCACAGTTTGGCACATTTGTTTACTGTTAAAGAAGAGACTATTGGAAATTACATCTTGCTGTGTGTGTGTGTGATAAGTATCAGCCAAGTGAATTCTGACTGCTCATTCTCCTTCCATTACAGATGATGTGGAGTTTGAGGTGTCATCAGACAGACGTACTGGCAAACCAATCGCTGTCAAACTGGTAAAAATAAAGACTGAAATCTTGCCAGAAGAGAGAATAAATGGACAGGTTTGTGTTTTCGATGTACATTTTGGAATGCTTGCCTTGGTGTAAATTAACCTAAACCCACAGCAGTAAATTCAATCTGTATGTGCAGTAAAGCATGCTGGTTATACTCACTGTGGAACTTAAGGGGGTTAATCCTCTGCACAGTGTAAAAAGGATGTTTGATCCTGTCTTTTCTGATGCTCCTCTTCTTCCACTGTCCCTGACTCATTTCCTGATAGAACAGAGCTTTAGAGGCAAACAGCACATGCTCCGTTTTGGTGGGTATTGCTAGAGGAGGTTCCCTCCCTCACCCACCCCCCCCCCCCCTCTCTTGGGAGAGTGCATGTGATAGGCACAGGACCAGTCAGCACTGTCCAGACAGGATCAGGGGTCCTGCACTCTCATAGAGAATGAATGAACACTCCTCCTACAAGCTTTAACCAGTGCTCTGCTGGACATTGATAGAAGCCACAATACTGTTCTTAACTGCTGATGAGAAAGGTATTTAGCAAATTATTTACTAACATAATTTCATTTCCATGTTCTGTGTACTGTGGGAGATCAAATATAGTGAATGTAGTGTCCTGGTTTTAGCTACACTTTAAAGATAGTTTTGGATTTTTCTCAAGCATCCTGGTCCTTTAATCTGAACAGCCTCTTGATCAATAGGGAGGTTGGGCCTTGTGTGTGTGTTAGTATATGTGTGTGTGTGTATATATATTCTGATATGTGCCTGCTGCTCCATGTACTTCTGCTTTTAAAAAGGATCCTCTTCTTCTTTCCTTTTATTTGAAATACAGTTCCTAGTGTTCCTGCCAGACCCTTGCTTTCCTATTTCAGCCTGAACCCCAACACCCCTCCCCTTATGCAGCTGAGATCAGAGACTGTTTATTCATTCACATATACACATACTAGGGCCAATTTAGACAGAAACCAGTTAACCTACCATCATGTCTTGGAGTGTGGGAGGAAACTGGAGTACCCATAGGAAACACGTAGGCACAGGGAGAACATTGACACTCCAGGCAGGTGGTGCTGGCCACTATGTAATCACTTTTAAAAGAAAAACAAAAACAGTTTATATGTGTGTGTAATATTTTGCACAACAGTTTTTTTTTTTTGCCTTTCATTTCTATTCTTAACTGAATAAATTGTATTACAAGGTTCAGAAATACTTAAAGCCAGGGCTTGACAATACCTGAGCAGCAGGTCGCTACGGCAACCATAAACTACGCCCTGGCCCCGCATCCTGGGCCGGCTTCTCTCTCAACAGAATGGAGTCCAGCCCAGTGTAGTCCACTCCATCGTATGCCCGTCCACCCCCACCGGAGAGCCCACTGAGCAGAGGATGTGTCCTCCCACACTGATTACCCCATCCACACCACTGGACGAGTGCTCGGAGGGTGGGCGGGCCGCACGCCGGATCCTGTCATTGCCGCCTTCAACTGGACCGGAGTCAGCGAGCTCACCAAGTCCTGCCCCCTGTGTCACAGCAGACAGTCCCAGTCCCTGCCCCCTTCCCTCCCCCCTTCCCTCCCCCACCTCACAACCCACAACAACAAGGCTACCCTTCCTGGCACCAGATTCTCTCCATTGACACCATCTGGAGGAGCCACGGGTGAGACCTGTCCTGCTGCCCTCTTTGTGACACTGCCCCCCTCCTGGCTTCAAACTTTTTTTTTTTTTTTTTTTTTGGCGGACTCCTAGATTCAAAGCAAATTTGTCAAGCCCTGCTTTTAAGCTTTTAGGTCTGTTTATTATAGACCATGGTATGGTTTTATTTTTAATATATATATATATATATATATATATATATATATATATATATATATCTCTCTATCTCTATATCCCCAGGGATAGTATAAGTGGATGCTTTGTATTTGTGTACTTCACTGTACAATTGAGGTAGTAGAGTACGGGAATTCCCTATTTGTTGTTCAGAGCTATGCTTTAACTGTTGGGATAGGTGACAGATATTTCTATGGACAGGTAGCCTCGTGCCACGTTCCACCTACTTGTGTTCAAGTTGTGCTGTACTATTTTTTACATCATGGTGGTTTGCATCATTTTAATTTTTGACTTAAATAGCAGATAATCCCTGTACATGAGAAATGTTTCAATTTAGGTTGCTAACTACCTTAACCTACTACATTCTTAATTCAATGTTTGTTTTAATGTACAGTGCAGTCTGCTTAGTATTGGCCTACTTTTGTTCCCAGGTTGTTTGCGCTGTGCCTCAGAATTTGGAGAGCAAGTCTCCAGCTGCTCCGGGTCAGAGTCCCTCAGGGAGTGTGTGTTACGAACGCAATGGGGTAATTAAGAATTACTTTTTTACCTGTGAAATTTGTAATTCTCTTTGGCCTGTTTTGTGATTCTCACACACACGTCTCTCTGCTTAACCAGCAGGGTGGCACCATTGTTTACTATAGTAGTTTTGTGTTGCATGCCTACTCACTGGGCTAAGACATTTTGGGTTGGATGGGATTGAGGTCTATTTGTGCTCTTTTCATCCTTTTTTTAGACTGCCTGGTTATCTCCATGTTTACCCCCAAGTAATCCTATATATGTTTGACAGCATTCTGCTTAATTTACTCAATGCTGAACTTTTTGCTATTTTTTTTTTTTTGTTCTCTATAAATTATAGGTTGAGTTTTAATTTTTTTCTTTTGTTCTCAATTGCTGGGGAAATCAGGGGTATATCCCCACTACTAATTGTTTGTCTGCTAAACTGCATGGCTTATAGGATGGGGCTGGAACAATTTGGACCATGGTAGAGCCACCACGTTGGTAACTAAGCCACCTAATGGTGTTCTTAGAGCCCATAGTTAGGTTTCAGAAGTTGAAATTTATGCAGGCTCTAGATGTTTCAATTTATGAAAAGCTTTAACTTGATTTAATTTTTTTCTTAATAGGAGGTGTTTTATTTAACCTACACCCCAGACGATGTCGATGGAAATGTTCAGCTTGAAACTGGAGATAAAATTAATTTTATTATTGAAACAAACAAGCAGTAAGTTGCAACTTAAATCTTTGTGCTGCTCTTTTGAAATACTTGATGCTTTTGAGTGGAAAGTATTCTAGTTCCCACAACATGTTTATTCTTCCCTAAATTGCTGAGATAATGGCAGTTGGTGCAAACCGACTTCGCATTACATTCAAACAAAACAATCCAGATACCATCAATCGATTTTCAATACAGTAAGTAGTGAAATTTTGACTGTACCTTCAAAACGTCACCCATGTAATTGCTAGCTTTCAGACTGCACTGTCTGACACACTTTATCTCTGCTAATGATATGTTTCGTGGTTCCATATAATGTGGTCACTATGACAGTTCAGACATGGTGATAGCATATGCTGTAAGGTTTATTTACTAACAACCCTTTTCAGTTTTCACAGACCACATCAGACTAAAGATGGTGGTCTGCCTTTTTTAGTTATGGTTGTCAAGTTAACAGACACATACTGACACTAGTAAATTTTGGTCTTGGCATCTAGGCTTCAAAGACCTCTAGTTATAAAAGGGGTTGTAATAATCCAAATGATGTCAGCTAATTGGCTCCATGTGTATAGATTAAAAAAAAAAAGTGGGTCACCCCCAAAATCCATGCCAGACCCTTATCCCAGCATGCAGCCCGACAGGTCAGGAAAGGGGGGGATGAGCGAGCCCCCCCCACACATGGGGGGTGCTTTGGGGCGGGGAGGCTACCCCTACTCATTCACAAAAAAACAGTGTAGTGTGAAAAAAGACACGACACAGTCCTTCATAAATCCTTTATTAAAAGAATGTTACCTGCAGTAGATGAGCATGAGGGCATGTGGCCTGGTATAGCTCGGGGGGGGGGGGGGGGGGTGCTCGCTTGTCCCCCTTCACCCAGTTTCCTGACCTGCTGGGCTGAATGCTTGGATAAGGGGCTGGTATGGACCCCCACGCCATATTTATTATTAATTTTTTTTTTTTTAATTTTCCCCTCAAAATCCATTCCAGACCCGAAGGGCTTGGTGTGGATAGGGGGAACCCACGCCGTTTTTTTTCCATTATGGTGCCGGTTTTTAAATGTAATTACTGCTCTTCTTTTTATTTACCGTATTTTTCGTTCCATAAGACGCGCCTTTTTTTGAGGAGAAAAACAAGAAAAAAAATATTCTGAACCAATGGACTGCGGACGCAGGACAGGGGATGACCAGAGACTGCGGACGCAGGACAGGGGATGACCAGAGACTGCGGACGCAGGACAGGGGATGACCAGAGACTGCGGACCTTTGGGGAGGGAGGGGGAACGGGTACCTGAATTTGACAGGTACCCGCTCCCACTTCCACGGAGTTGTCCTTCCTTCTTCCCGTGGCGGCTTCTGTGATAGCTGGGTGCCCACCACGCGCGTGCGCGAGAAGAGCTGTGCTTTGTGAATGGCCCGGAGCCTTCTGGGTCCTGTCGTGTCCCAGAAGACACCGGACCATTCACAAAGCACAGCGCTTCTCGCGCATGCGCAGTGGGCACCCGGCTGTCACAAAGCTGCCGCGGGAAGACTGCAGCGCTGGAGTGAGGAACAGGTAAAGTCCTGCAGGAGAGAAGAGCTGAGCAGCCGGCCCGATATTCTGACATGGTGGCGGCAGAAATACCGGACTGGCCGCTTTACATTTGCTCCATAAGACGCACTGACATTTTCCCCCCTTTTTTGGGGGGGAAAAAGTGCGTCTTATGGAGCGAAAAATACGGTGTTTTATTTTTCTTTCACTATAGCTCAGAAATTCAGCTGTCACTTTCCCCCAGCTAAAAGAGATTTTTTTCTTTTAGTTTATTTCCTCCAGTTAAGAGAAACGATTCCTTTTTAGTTTCTTAAAAGAAACTAAATTTCCGTTAACTCCTGGGAAAGTTGACCGCTAATTCTGTGAGCTATAGTGAAGAAAAATATAAAAAGCCGGCAAGTGCATTTAAAAATCGGCACAGACATACACTTCGTATTGTGAAAAAAAAATTTGTAAACCGAGGCATTATTTTCAATTCATTTTTTTTCATTCGTAAACCGAAAATTACGTTAACCGAGGCGTTTGAAAATATAGTACAGTAATACCTTGGTTTACAAAGTTAATGCCATATTATTTTTTTTTTTCTTTTCTAATGCCTCCAGTTAAGGTGTTTACCTAATCTTTTCTGCATTAAGATTTATAGTTTGTAATAAAAACTTTGTGATTTTGCCTTGAAAGATGGAAAAACTGCTTCAAAGCCTACATGTGTGGTGTGCTTTTAAATTAAAAAAAAAAAAAAAAAAAAAAAAATTTTAAAATGGAAGAAAAACCTTTAGTCTGACTGCTATTAAAGATGTGCTCGCCCCTTCCTTCAACCTATCTTGCAATAACCCACAGTAGATAAAAATTGTTTAGTTGCCCATCTTTAATGCAGTCACATGATCTCACACCGCCAGCTCCTTTGTGTTAGCAGCTGCTGTAGGGTATAGGAGGGAGCACCAACAGCGGCTCGGCTAACAAAACCTATGAGGTGACATTACAGCTCCTGGAATTTGCAGCCATTGTCGAGTGCTCCCAGGGTCAGAGCTGCGGATCATGTGATGAGACTGGAGTAGATTAAAATTGGGTTAGTACACAAATCCTTTTTTTTTTTTTTTTTTTTTTTTTTTTTTTTTTTTTAATACAGGATGGGTAGAAGGAGGAGGGGGTAGGGAACAGCAAGAGATAGGCTATTCTTCCACGTTAAGGACCAGTGTGTTTCCAAATTTTAAATTTTGCATACTAATTTTTTTTTTTCTTTCCACTTTTTTTCCTTATAGCACTGGTGCAGTAAGCGCTCGAAACATTATGCTGCTTATGAAAAGAAAGCAAATGCGTTGTCAGGGTGTGGTTTGTGCCATGAAGGTAAATCTCAGTTGATGTGCACTAATCTGTTAGCTATAAAATGCTGCACCCTTCCTAGGCTGTGGAGTAAAAAAAAAAAAAAAAACTCCGCATGGGACCTCTTAACACAACTGCTTTGGGGATTTTGAGCCTTGAACTCAACATAAAGAAAAAAGTTTCACCTTCTTCACCATACCTGAGGGGAGAGAACCTGCGGAGCTGGTGGGAACTCGGTGTAACAGTGGGAGGAAAGCGGGAGAACCGTCTGTGACCTGAGTGCTAAGAACTGGAGTGTGACAGGCTGAGAGCCTGTCACACTCCGTGGGGAGACATCTGTGTGTGGGGGCTGTGGCTCTGTATTCATTTTATGTAGTAGGTAGTGCTGTGTATGTTCTAGGGGGCGCATTATACCATAATGGAGGCCATGTGTTCTTAGAGCGGTTGTGTGCTCATAACCGCAAGTTATGAGTGGACGGTGCTATAATTGCGAGTAGCAGACATACTGATCAACCCACCTTTCTCACCCCCCCTTTTTTTTTCACCATCAAAGGGGGGTGAAGGGAAATGTATAGATTTATTTTTGTAACTTTATTCTGCATAAAACATTTAACAGTGTCATTTAATGTGATTTACGAGGATGTGCATGCTTTCAAAGCTCTTTTAAGGAAACCCTCAAATGTGGATTTGTAAAATAGTTCTTAAGATTTTTGATCTATAAAACACTTGATCAAAAAAATGTTTTCAGGGGATAAAACTGGAGGGAAAGAGGAGGTACTGCTCATATGAGCCCCCATTAGGGCTTTTTCCTGTAAAGGTTTTGGCTCTTCATTATTTTAAGAGCTACTGTCGACTGGCTTTTTTTTTTTGCAGCAGAACTGCTTCAGTGCCCATGTAATTCAGAATGCAAAGGAAGCAGGTCAAATGCACCTGCTGTAAATTCTAAATCTTCTTTGGGGCAGCTCAGTCTATCAAAAGCAAAACTGCATTTGCACATGCAAGCCTGTTGGTACAGGCCCTAATACTGGCCTGAATGCTCAAACCATTTTGAAAGTTAGATCTTTCAAATCCTGCCCTCGAATCTCCCTAACTGTTAGGGTATCTTCACTGCGTTGGCTGCAGATGAGCAACCAACACAAGTTTTGTGTGCCTTCCTTGTGGGGGAAGATTGGGTCAAGTTAGGATGCATTAGGCCTATCTTGACTGCAAATGTAGCCTAGAAACCAAGTATCCCAAGCATTGTGTGATAGGATAAAGGACTTGGTATAAGAGGGTGAAAAGAAAAAGTACTGCTTGTTTGTCTTTTTTTATTCCTTTATATTATGATTGATTGAAGAAATCTATGTGCCCATACCCTTGCTGTTGTGCTATAAAATAGTCCAGCTGTTTACAAGTTCATATCTTTTTTTTTTTTTTTTTTTTTTTTTTTTTCCTAGGAAGCCTTTGGGTTTATTGAAAGAGGTGATGTTGTAAAGGAGATTTTCTTTCACTACAGTGAATTTAAAGGAGACCTTGAAGCCTTGCAACCAGGCGATGATGTAGAGTTCACCATCAAAGATCGAAATGTAAGTATACTTTTTGGTTTTACCCTTTTTTTTTTTTTTTTTTTTTTTTTTTTTTTTTGTGCTACCTGGTCTTTTCTGAATCTTCTTTTTCCTGAAGGGTAAAGAAGTAGCAACTGATGTAAGGCTTCTACCTCAAGGAACTGTTATTTTTGAAGATATCAGCATTGAACATTTTGAAGGAACAGTTACCAAAGTTATCCTAAAGTACCCAACAAAAATCAGGTAATGCATGTTAACAAATATCAGATCTTTTCAATACTCTACCATAGTAGTTTACTAAAGGAAAAAAAAAATCAGTGTTTTTCCCATCTTCCCTGCTCCCCCTCCCCCCCAAATAAAATCCATGCCTTCTAGCCCTTCTTCCCTTTGTAAATCTTTTATCTTATTCCGGACCTTGGTGTGAACTCCTTGCTGTTCCTCTAACTGCATGTTGATGTAAAACCTTCATCCCCATGTTCACTGTACTCGGAGACAGCAAAGGGATGATTAACTTTTAGCCTGTTTATCACCTGTTCCCCCCTCTTGCTGTCTTAAGGAGTATAATTTTCAGCCCCCCATCCCTGCCGCCTCCTTGGCATATAAATTGGTAAATATTTAGGGGCAATGTACAACATAAATTCACTGAAGAATAAACCCCCTCTCGACTTTCTTTTTTTTTTTTTAATTTTATTTTCAATCTTTCAATAGAATGATCCCCTACCAGGAAGGATAAAGGTTGATTTTGTTATTCCTAAAGAGCTTCCTTTTGGTGATAAGGATACTAAGTCTAAGGTGACCCTTTTAGAAGGCGATCATGTGCGGTTCAACATTTCAACTGACCGAAGGGACAAACTCGAGCGTGCCACAAACATTGAAGTTCTCTCCGATACGTTTCAGTTTACAAATGAGTCCAGAGAAATGGTTAGTTTTTAACTTTTGGTTTTCCTGTTTTGTTGCACAAGAAATTTGAAGAGTGTGTGATTGTTTTAGTGTCAAGTCTTACTGATGCTTTTTCTTGGAAAAACTTGTTTCTGTTCATAGATATTATCCACTGAGAAGCAATATTTGCTTATCAAATGTAGAAGCATGTATGCTTCCTGCCAGGTAGTGCAGCATAGAGGTGGTTTTTCTTAATAAAGGGTTACAGGACACATGGGTTGATTCTTGGACCATGGGCTATATGCGACTACTTTCAAGTGATTGGACAAGTGCTTTCCTGAGATCACCCGTGCATTTCCACTTAACCCAGCCCACTCCAAGAGGCTGCAGTTTTTTCGCTACTGTCCATAGGAGAAACATCTTTCCTCTTGTTGGAGAAGAGTGTGTGATGTGGGCCTTTTCCACATGGCATACACCTCATGGCTAAGTCCACTGCATCTGCTTAGAAACCTTAATAAAAAACATTGCTCATACCTCTTATTGCTCCACATTAGGCAAAGATGTCCTCACTCCTGTAGAAATTCTTCCGGAGAAGAGGTCCATCATCTAAAGTTTAAAGGTTTTTTACCTTAATGCATTATCTGCATTAAGGTAAAGAAAAAAAAAAACTTCCACTTTATTCCCTGCCTCCAGATCCATTGGCTTCTCCTGCGGTCAGTGAAATCCAGTAGGCAGAGAGCTTTTCTGTGCATTGTCATGCAGGCAGGACCTGTTCATGTTCTTTGGGACACAGTAGCTGCATAGACACAACCTCTGGTCTCTTTGACCACCAGGTGTCCCTGAATGCACACGGTGTTAAGGACACACTTCTGTCAAATTTGGAACAGCAGGTGTCCATGCAGCCACTGCATCCTAGTATACATGAATAGCACTGTATGCACACAGATGCATGGAACACCTGTGCATCCCTGCAGGTAAAGATGGCCTTTCACATAAGTAGGAAGGAGTCTCCTAGCAAAGCTTTGGCTAGTGTCCAGTGACCTGAAGGTAGTGTCATATAACCCATAGTCAAAAAATCAACTCGTGGCCTGTACTGTACTTCAGGATATTGAATTTACAGGTACATCAGAGTTCCTATTCTTTTCATTTACAGGGTGTCATTGCAGCAATGAGGGATGGTTTTGGTTTTATAAAATGTGTTGACCGGGATGCTAGAATGTTCTTTCACTTCAGTGAAGTTCTGGATGGAAACCAACTCCACATTTCTGATGAAGTAGAGTTTACTGTGGTCCCTGTAAGTAAATATTCCTAACACACAAGCTAATGTTTCTGCTTTTGTTCATTTATTAACAGTTGACCAATCAGTATTTTTCATCGTTTTATGTTCTTAAATCTGTCCGCTGCCTTACTAATCGGTAGCCTTCCTCCTTCACTGTCTGATCTGTGGAAGATACATGAAAGGGAGCAATTGAATGGGCAGCAGAGATTACATTTTCTATTTTAAAATGGAGCAATATGTGGCTTGACAAGTCTCCATAACTGTCTTGTGACCGGCAACTATATATTTTTTTAAAACTTTTATCAAATAATTGTGCCTAGGCATGGCACAGTACATTTTAAAAAAATGTAATCAGTATGGTGCTAACAAATCAAAAGGGTATTGCAGAGATGCAAGGTTTTGTATAATTGTCTCCTCTCTGCACCTGCATCTTGGATTAGGAGGTACCATCTGTTGTAGATTATGCTTGAGCAAAAATGGAGGAGTTTGTTTGTAGAAAGGAAAATAAAAGCATTGTCAATAGTACTGCAGTCTATATAAGTGTAACAGTAATAGATACATTATTACCTCTAAAATATGACATCCGACACTAGTTTTGTTATAGGTATAGTAAAATGTTTTGCTAATTTGCAGCTGTGTGTGGCTTCCATGAAAAATAGAAAATTTGGCTTTTGGATGCATGGGCCCTTTTAATGTACTTAAATGGAGGCTGTAAAGATAAATATTATGGTATCTGCCTTTTGCCAACTTATTTTTCAAGTGCATTCTCTGAGGTTGTCATCCTGATCCTGGTTGCACTGACATGAAGCAATAAAAATGAAAAATGGCACTTTCCAGACCTGACTGTATGCTTGTTGTTCTAGATTAGTACTTGCTTGGTAGGGATCCCAGTATTGGAGTTACAGCCATTTGGCCTGTGCTTTAAAAATAAGTTGTTAATGTTTGTTTCGCATTCAGTTATCAAGGGTGCACTTTGGTTTAGAATACGGGACCTGCCCATACTAATTTTTGTTTTAGTGCATGCTTATATTTGCTTTAACAAAATCAAGAATATGCTTGCATGCTGGATAGACAATACCCTTCCAGGTCACCGATCCACAATGTAGTGAAAGCAGGATAAAAGCCCTGGGACAACTACCTTTTTAAAAACGGGACAGCATTGGTAGCTCCATGTTCAACCCTGCTAACATGTTTCTTTTTAAAAGAAACTTGAGTCCGCATAAACCTAGAAATCATCCTCCAAATCAAACGTTTTAAACAAAGAGCCAGTTTACTGTCCTTCAGACTTTAGGTGGGCCAGATGCACTAACATCAGTGGGAGTAGACAAGGTTTCAGTCTTGGTCTGTGGGAGTAAATAAATTACATAGCACCTGTGGTCTGTAGGAGGATGAATGGTGCCTCATCAGTGGTGACAGTGGGAGGAATAGTGTCCCACAATTGGTTTCAGTTGAAGGATTGGAGTGCCATTGTTTGTGTCAGTGGGAGGAAGAATGCCTGGTAACAATGGGAGGAGTAGTGCCCCAAGGGCCAGATAAAGGCAAGCAAAAGGGCTGCATACGGCTCGTGAGTCAGTTTTTGGAGACCACTGCTCTAAATCCAAAAGCAAAAATATTGCAGCTTTCCAGTAGTTTTTGATGTGGCGGCTGTTCCGTTTTTCTTTTTTAATCTGGCGATACATTATACCACTTCTATTTCCTAAAGATTTACTTTCAACTATGCAGTGCAAGGGCCTGCCTATTGGTTTATAAATTGAAACTGTTTGGATTTGGCCTCCTATTATATGGTTTTGGATATAAATCTATAGGAAGATTGTACAAGATAATTATGTAATGTATGGTCAGCCTTGGGCTTCCCTTTTTATTTTGTTATGGTGTTCCTGGCAGTGACAACACCTCACCAAACTATGGAAATGCAGTAGTGTTACTCTGCTCTCCTCCTGATTTGAATTAAATGTGCCCCCTTCCCAAAACCCCTCTCTCATGTGATAGCTTGGGGAGGAGTCTTCTTCCACACAGCAGCTATCACTTTTGAAGTCTGTATGCAGAGCTTTGTCATTCATTCAGATCTCTGTGAATAAACTATCAGTCCCACCTGTCACCGCAACAGATGGTGTTCTCAATAGTATAGGAGTGCTGTAATTACAGCACTCATAGTCCACTGACACGTCTTCAGCTCTCCAAGTTAAAGTGCAAACCTTGGTACTGGTAGGGAGCTGGAGGAAGAGTGTGCTGGAGACTGAAATTGCACCTGTGTTCCACATATGGCAGGTGCAGTTCATTGCGGGCTCTTACGGGGGAAAAATGATTTTATGTTTCCTGCTAATATGTTCATTAAATTTTTTTTTTTTCTTAAAAAAAAAAAAAAAAAAAAAAGCACCTTTTGAATAATTTTTTTAAATAAAGATGTTCTGTTGTATGTACCTGCTCTGTGCAATGATATTGCACAGAATGGTCAACTATCTCTTCTGTCAGTCCCAACCAGCATTGTTTACATCCTTTTTGGATTTCTCTAGTGACTCACTGATTATAGGCACAGTGCCAAGGGTATAGAGCAACTGAGACTGTGGAAAATGGGCCCGCCTGAAGTGATCTGTCAGTATTTAATTTTCTGACTAAAGTTTAGACTTTAGAACTGCCGGTTATTCTTTCTCCATCCCCTTTCAAAAGGAGTTTATGGTTATGTCCAACTTCTCTTCAAAGTTCTGTCACCTGGAAGATCTTCATAAGACAGTGTATATTAAACAGCAGATGGCAATATCTGATGTCTGCAATAAATGGTCACTGTGTGTGTTTCCAAGTTCAGTTTTTTAGAAATATCTAACACCTTTCTTCTTTATAGGACATGCTCTCTGCACAAAGAAATCATGCAATCAGAATTAAAAAGCTCCCTAAAGGAACGGTCTCCTTTCACACTCAATCTGATCATCGCTTTGTTGGTATTGTTGAAAAAGAAGCTACAGCTGCCAGTGCTAAATCCAGCAGCCCAAACAAAGGAAAAGAAAAGGTAAAAGCACCTGCCATTCAGCTGTTTGCATATCATCTAAAATGTATTAAGGAGAAACTGCTCAACCCTGTCCTTGGAACAAATGTCAGTCATTGCATACTTTCATTTTACCCTTTTTTCCTCTTAATTCTGTATCTAGAAAAAAGAGAAGGTAAGCTGATCTGCATGGTGTGAGTTGGTCACTAGATAGCTATTGGCAGTTTCTTATAGCCTGCATTACATTTCTGTTTGTAGTGTTTTTAGGTTTACTAGTGTTCTCTGCATGTTTCCACTTGTTTTAACTATCAAAGTTACAGCGTCTGTAATGTGAGAAAAATGGTATGCAGGGTTGTAAGTGACAATGCCACCAAGCCTGCTACAGCTGCCAATTGCACATAATGTGGCATGCATGTATGGCTTGTCCACGTCCATTACTGCAACATGTAAGAGCACAACTTGACTTGAGTCGGTGCTCTTTATTACATAATTCTGAGAATTCTGTCTTGAAATTGAACAGTGAAAAATTGTGATACCCAATCTTTGTGGAGAGGGAAAGTGACTGTTTCTTCGGCTTTTAACTCTGCTACTCTGATTAGTGTTTTTATCTTAATGGCTTGATCAGGTTATAAGTTTTATAAGGTGTTACACTTACGGAGAAATAAAGTGGTATTAGAGCAGTGATGGTCAACTTGAAAATTTATAGGGGGCCAGAAGAACAGCCTTGTGTCAGTGGACGCAAGAATAACACCCAGCACTGACACTGGGTACTATTACCCCCCCCCCCCCCCCCCCCCCCCCCCCCCCCCCCCCCCCCCCCCCCCCCCCCCCCCCCCCCCCCCCCCCAGTGAAAGGTGTGTGGCATTTATTTATTTTTTAAGCTGCTCTGTTGGCAGGTAAATTTTCTCAGCAGATCGGCTGCAGGGAAATTAGCCTCTTCATTTTGGAGGTGTTCCAAAATGGAAATGTATTCACATTAGCGGACATCAGATGTTCTTTTGCTAGCTTCTCAGTTCAGCAAAAAGCTGGAAAAGTTTTGACTTGAGGATATGGGACCAAACAGAGGGTTCAGGAGATGCCATGGGATCTATATGCTCTGACCTATGTCTTTCCACCACTAAAGAATTTACATCTTTAGAATTTTACATCTAAAGAATTTACATGTTTTCTTCAAATGATCGTGGTTGAGGGTGTTTATTCTCGTAGCTCCAGGTTGGCCTCATTGTGCAATGCCAACCTCCTATTTGGCTTGTCTGCCAACGTTCTGTGGCCTCTGCCAGATCTGGTATCTTAAGGGACTTTTATCGTCAATCTCAACGGTTTAAGGTCAATCTTCAAATGTTGAGATTAAAAATCATATTCTTCCAGTACCATTTTAAGTGATTGCTTAATGTGCTGGAGCCTAATCAGAAAATTTGTTTTTTGAGTGGAATTCCACTTTAATCCATTGTAATATGTTGTAATATGAATAAAATGTGAGAACAAATGAACGTTTTTTTTTTTTTGTTTTTTTTTTGGTCTAACTTTTAATTTTTTAAAATTAGTACTTGGTTTATAAGTTTTCAGATCATAGATATTCGAATGTGAGTCGATATTGATTGCCACCACTGTGCCACACTTCACTGCCCAACCATTTGACTTAGTTTTGCTTTAACAGCAAGTGCTTTATTCAAAAAAAGGAGCTGAAGAATGAAGTTAAAAAGATTTTTGCATTCACTTCTTTATGAATGCCATATCTAAAAAGTAATACTGTTACTTTTACCATGTGAATTCAAATTTTCAAAGAAATGTAAGATTACAACGTGTTCCTTGCTATTAGGAGGGTGAAGAAGGAATTATCTCTTATGAAGACTGTGGAATCCGACTTACTGTCTCCTATCACCTCAAGGATTTGGAAGGATCTTCCACCCCCCAGGTTGGGGATAAGGTTAGTTTCCTAATTTCTTATATTTGCCACTGAACTGTGGGGAATACGAAGTACATGAAATCTTGCTATAAAGTGTAGGAAGATAATCTTGCGAGGTTTCTGTTCCTTTTCATCCATCCCCCTAAACTGAACCCCCCCCCCCCCCCCCCCCCCCCCGAAGTCTTGCCAAAAGTAAGGTGACATCTGCCTTGCCTAGATGCTGCCGCCAGCTTTTTTACTAAAGCTTTTTGGCAAGCTTGGTCTGGTCTGAAAAAAATGCCATCTTAATCATTTAGTTTAGGACTGGGTTTTATGCTGCTACATTCAAGTGATGGGTTACTGGCAAAAACATTTTTGCTAGGGCTGCTACCTAAAATGTACCGATATATAACGCTGCCAACTCCATGAGACCCCAGTTTTTTGCTAGTCACCTGTTCTCCAGAGAAATTTTTTTTTCTTTTAAAGCAATGAATTTTTTTCATCCTAAACTTCTGTCAACATCTGACTGCCTATTGCCTTGTGCTATCTAGTAGTTTCCAGATCGATTTAACCTTGGGGTGTAGCTCTGCTACCATACCCAGGCCACACTGCATGGAGTGACCTGAAATGTTGTCAGGCATTGGATCTTACATTTGGCACGAAGTGCAACATTTGAAGTTGGCTGCAGTGCTCAATTCAGGTCCAGGGCTGCGGTCTGTGTCCTGTGGCTTTCAGACCCTGGAGACCCCTTCAGAGGTATGCTGTCTGTGATGGATTAAATCTGGACCCTAATAGGCCCAACTTTGGAGATCAGCAATACAGGATTTCCTTGTATATGCAGTCCAGATCCTGGCTTTAAACGCTATCCAGAAGGCATAGCATACTATGTGATTTAGTGGGCAGACATATTGGGGGGGTGTTCACTTTACTGAGGCACCCCCTGCCATTTTGCTTTTAATGCTTCTTGGTGATAACTTTAAAAAAAAAAAAAATATTCCTATCTTGGCTTTTCCTCAGAAGTTTGAAGTAACTGCTTCACATTTCCCAAGTGACTTATTCTACCCACCTCTTCCACTGAGGGCTGTCAGGACATTGTTTCCCATGGCCATCTTCCACAGAGATACAGCCACAGGAACTTGGTTGACATCTTGGTTATAGTGGCTTTCTCCAGACACTCAAATCCATACTGTACTCCTGAGCTTTGAGAACCCCACTTGGAATCACCTCACTAACATTGGCTGATCACAGGCTCAAAGGAGATGGGATGAAAGGACTTAACAGCATATGTTCAGACTGCCTAGAGGAAATTCAGAACACCACTTGGGGTCAGGTCTGTTCCCTTGTTCTGAAGTAATGTCCAATATTGACACAACTCTCCTAATCTGACTCTAACCAAAAAAACTACACATCCTACTACACTCGGTATTTGCGCAGCGATTTTTCAAATGCAGTTTGTTATGTTGAATTTTAATGGACAAAACCCAGTATTGGTTGGTAAAATATAAAAGATGTTACGCCGAGTAAATAGATGCCAAACATGTCACTTTAAAATTGCGCATGTCCGTGCAACGGTGTAAAAAAATACAAAAATGTTATTCTAAGCTTTTGCAGGTTACCACTTTAAGTTTACACAGAAGGTCTGGTGCTAGAATTGTTGCTCTCGATCTGACATTTGCGGTGATACATCGTGTGGTGTGATTGGTGGTTACTTGAATGTGGGGGACCAACACATGGGTTTGCCTTTGCCCACAGGGGGACATCCCCTCCTTCCGCTTGTAAAGGCAATCTAGCGGTTAATTGGATGAATGTAATCCTATTTATGTCTCAAGAATTGCTCTGATCTTTGTCCACATGCACCAGCCTCTGTGGCTAAAAGCTCGGTTTGCTGAACATGCTTGTAAGAAATGCCTTCTATACGCCTGCTTTCTTAATGGGAAGAACCTTTTTGGAGATACTTTGATACATTCATCAAGGTAATTATTGGACTAAAGGTCTTTCTGTTCTCCCCAGACATCAACTTCCAAAACCAAGGCTTAACATGTCCTTTCTTCGCAAGCCCTGGCCTACCCAGCCTTCTAGAAGCCCTCTTCATAATGTAGGGGCGCTCCCACTCCTCAAAGTGGGGCAATGTCTGTAGGTTTTTCCACCAGTCTGGATGTAAGACACATCAGACCCCTGGGTTTAGCCTGTCATTTCAAAGTGGGTACAAAACCGAATTGCTATCTCTTCCCCTCCTTGCTTTTTGCCTTCCTTTTGTGCCAGCTGCAGACCAAACTAAAGCCGATTAGAATGATGGCCTTTCACCAACTTCAGATACTAGAGGTGGTTGTATCAGTTCCTACAGAAAGAAGAAAAGTTTAAATAAAAACCTTGAAACCAATTCACAGCCCCAAGACATAAATTGTGGTGGGAGGCGGGTGTATATAGGGTCCCAGAACGGAGCTTAAAATCCCTTAATGGAATTGGTTGTGTATCAAAGTTCCTGATTAAAATATACATGATCTGTCAGTTGCTTCCTGCAGATGAGGGAAATTTCTTGCATCGTTAGACCTGCAAGATGCTTCTCTTCTAGGTCTTCTACAAACCTGGGGCATTCATGTTGAAGGTTATTTTAAGGACTCCTCAGCAAAGATCTCCTCTGCCAATGGTCAAAGGGGACCATTCATTTCCTCCAAACCTTTTGGCTTGATGTTCTTTCCAAAGTTTTCCTCCGATGTCTTAATCACTCCTTATTGCATTGCTTGTTTAGACAAAAAAAAAATTTCAAGCCTTACGGCAGGATTATGTGGATATGCTTGATGGCCGGACCTAGCAAAAGTGTTTGCCAGTGTCCACAATAGCAGCATACAGCCCATGGTCTGTGAATACAAGTCCTGTACTTGAGGATGAGTAATTGTACAATCAAGTGTGGGGTTTTTTTTTTGTACTTGTCTGCTAATCATTTTGTGTTTTTTATTGGAATTCATTTTTAAGTTAACATTTGTTTATCTAGGTTGAGTTTAGCATTTGTGAAGCCAAAAGAACTGGTCAACAGACTGCAGTTCTCTATTAAGGTTCTTGGACGAAATTCCAACAGCAAAAGGTTTTATGGCTATGTGGCCACTCTAAAAGATAACTTTGGTTTTATTGAAACTGCCAATCATGATAAAGAAATCTTCTTTCACTACAGGTAGGTGTGTGATCAATTTCCCAATTGCATAATGTATTTCATGTGATCTACCTACAAGATGGTTTGCTAAAGTTACAGCTTCACTTTTTCTTCTGTGATTCAGCTCTTTGTTCTTTCCTCGGTGTCCTAGCCATTTTTCACATGTTTCTCAACCTTTTGCCAGTCAAGGCACCCCTTAAAATTACGAAAATTCTCGATGCACCCCATTCTAAAATGTAAAAAAACTAAACTAATAATTTTACACATTGCAGCAGCATTTACACATGTAAAACGCCCAACCCACCCATTAGAGTTGACATGTTATTTCAAAGCAAATATGTTTTTTATACACTGGTATTGACTAGTATTCCAGAAATTCTTCATTTTCTCTCCCTCATGCAGCTAACATGACCCCAATACTGATGAAGAGGGGTGGATAGTCAAACAAGGATGCTATGCAGGTGCCCTATGTCCTCATCAACCAATGATGTCAATGGTTGTTAGGAAACTTGTGGCTTTAACAAAAGAGCAGGGTTAATTCACCCACTTCCTTGTATACAATGTTTGGACAATTTAAAGGAAATTTTAGGCATTTTGCGAAGGCACCCCTGGGGAACGCGGAAGGCACCCTGGTTGAAAAAGGCTGCTCTAACATACAGTCCAGGCAAATTTCAATAAAAATAAAATTATACAGGCAGTCCCCGAGTTACAAACATCCGACTTAAATGTGACTTGTACTTAAGAATGTCACGTTGGTCCCGGAGACCTCCGGAGCGGCCATCTTGCTGATCACCACATGCTGCCACTTACCTATGCTATCAGACTTAAAAAAACTTAAATGTACCTGTTCCAACTTGCATACAAATTCAACTTGAGAACAAACCTACAGAACCTATCTTATTCATAACCCAGGGACTGCCTGTACTTCATTTTCTTTGTACTGAGTTACTCCAAAAAATATCAGCCATATTTTACTTGGGTTATAAATAATGCCACCAAATGAATGATCCAGGACGGTGCTTGCATCTACTATATGGTCTACCTGTATTTATTTTCACTTTGCCATTAAAGCCATGACTTCTTGGTTTTATGCAAAAGATGATTCCCAGTCTCTACCCACCTGGTTTTTTCTCCCTGTCCAAATAAACTGATGACCAATAAGAAGCGTTGTCCGGTACATACTACTTATGAGAATAATTGCTGTTACCTTTTGAATACTGACTGGATTGCCTCTGTTGCAATCCATTTCTAGAATATCTGTTGTAAAACGGTTTCAGGTGGTAGTAAAAATGCCATCAGTTGCTTTAATTGATAAAGTAGTAGTTCCTGAATGGCGATTAATTAACTGATGCCCCTATTTGTGACTGAGCTTGTAATGATTTAGACTCTTGGTGCCTTTAACCAGTTGGGAGCTGTTATTAAATGAATGCTCTATGGACTGGTTTTAGGATGTAAAAAAAAGAACTTTGTAGTGAAATTAAAACTATAATTTTACAAATCAAAAACTCTGACTTGGTTCACACTTGCTGTTGGGGGTAGTTAATAAAATAGGTGGGTTAGACCTTGTTTTTCTGCTCCTGTTAAGCTACGAAGGCAGCCAGATGGGGTTGTAAATATGCCCTGGCTGCAATGCCCTGCAGCACAGAAAAAAGTAACCCCCTGTTGTGTTTGGACACTATTGCCACCGAACACAACCAATTGAGTGGGGTCTCAATGCAATCCTGAACCTAACTGTAGGTTATCGGTGGTGGCACTGTATTCCCATTCAGAAACTGTTTGGCCATTATAACAGAATGCTCTTCAGAAGATCGCACAGGGGTAAACCATCTCTAATAATAGTGTGTCTTATTTTTTCCATAAAGCGAGTATTCTGGAGATGTAGATAAGCTGGACCTTGGAGATATGGTGGAGTACTGCTTATCCAAAGGGAAGGGGAACAAGATCAGCGCTGAAAGGGTCACAAAGGTTCATCAAGGTAAGATTATAAAACAAAAAATTAATTTTATTGTATTTTTTATTGAAATCTTGTGTTTCATAAATTGTTGCGTGCGCTAACATACATACAAAACAAAATATTTTGTTTTGTATGTATGTTAGCGCGCGCAACAATTTATGAAACACAAGATTTCAATAAAAACTAGAAAAGCTACAATTTCTGGGGAAATTGTGTGAAGTGTTCTTGCCTCCACCAGTAGTCTACAACTGGAGTGGGTGGAGTAACTGGGTGGAGTGGCTTGAGTAACTGTTGTTGTGGGTTGGAGTGGCTTGAGTAACCGTGATTTGTTTGTGGACGGCGTGAGTTGCAAACAAATTGTCATATTGTGAAAACTATCAGGACTATGGCTTAGCCGTGGACATTTTTAGTGGCAGCAGGGATAGCTGAACGTTTTTTGATATAAGATTTGTGTAGGTGGGCTTGAAAATGAGGGAGTGATGGCAGTTTAGAAATCATGTCCTGATTTTTCAGCTCACACTCTAGTTTTGAACACTCCGCCATTCATTCCTATGGGACCAGTTTCACCACAAAAACACCGATTATTTTGTGAACCATTCAGCGAAACGTTCCGCAAAGTAATAGCACACCAATCGGGAACAATCCGCACGTTTCGGTATATTACTGTCTATGCAGTGTAAAAACTGTGGGAGGAATTAGGGTGGTAAATTTGGCTATAATAATATATGTGAGATAACAGTAAGTGGTCTTGCCATGCAAGAACACTTAAATACAATAGTTAATTTTAGAGCACATAGACTTAATATATTATGCTTTTTTTGGTAAAATATAAAAGATGAAGTTCCTTTTTGAGTAAACCGGCAATCCACGTGTTAAGATTGTGTGCACCCGTATCACTTTCACAAAAAATTAACGTTACACTCCTGGCTGCTCTAGCAGCTGGCAGTGTTTTAAAAGCCCCAGATTGCCTTAAAATGGTCATTTGCTTTTTAGCAGCGGTTTTTGTGTTGCAGACAAGACCGCCAGTGACAGTTGCCGTCCTCCCCTCTATGGCTTAGCTACTGATCGCTAAACGAGAGTTTTTTTGTAGCAAATGATGCCAGTCTAATGTAGTACCACTAGATTAACTTTCTTGGCCATTGTTGCTGCTGCTATAACAATTAAATACCAGTCTACAGATCTGCTAATCACTGGCATTAGTGATTTTGTAGCAGCAAGGGATACAAAATTACAAAATGGCCCTACTTACAAGTAGCAAACCTTGTGTGAAAATTGTCTTTTTTTTCTTTTTTTTTCTCTTGTGACCATTCATGCTTTCTATACTCATAACGGTTTCTTTTTGATGGCTCTCAAGTTAATGGATCCAGTGATGAAGTGAATCCTACAGTGTACTGGGGAAAAGTTGTGCGGCCCCTGCGGAGTGTAGACCCTACACAAACTGAGTACCAGGGAATGATTGAGCTTCTAGAGGAAGGTATGTTTTTAAATGCAACTGTTTGATCTAGTAGGGCATGTGCAAACTAACGTTTGAAATTTTACATTTGTTTAGAAAAAATCCTGATGTGTGTGTGTTGAAGACTAAATTAAACCAGAACTAAAATGTATCTGAGCACCAAAAGCCAAAAATGCTTTTTAATTCATTTTTATTATTCAAAGCCAACACCTCATCTATGTTCCTATGCTTTCTTTTACCAAGTGATTAAGGGCAGATGATTCAGGTAGCATTTCCTGGATTCCATCTTCCCTTCGCACAAATATGCAGACAAAAGGGTGTGCTTATCTCAGAAAATCCCTCCTCCAGATGACAGAAAAACAAATGACATGACTTCTGTGATGTGACATTTCCATAACCTAGGCCTGGGAACCAGGATGTAAATCAAGAAATAAAAAAAAAGTTGAAATTTAATAACTATAATAAACTTGCTAATGCTAGCAGCATAAGGATTAAAAATAGTTAATGTTCTGCTTTAAACTGTACTTGGTAAGACCCAAGATCTTGTTAGAGATATACAGACGCTTTAATGACCTCTGTTCATTATATGCTACGATCTTTGGTATACAGTCATAAATATTGGGACATCAATGCACTTCTAACATTTTTGGCTCTATACACCACCACAATGGATTTGAAATGAAACAAAACAAGATGTGCTTTAACCGCAGACTGTCAGCTTTAATTTGAGGGTATTTACATCCAAATCAGGTGAACGGTGTAGGAATTACAACGGTTTGCATATGTGCCTCCCACTTGTTAAGGGGACAAAAGTAATGGGACAATTGGCTTCTCAGCTGTTCCATGGCCAGGTGTGTGTTATTCCCTCATTATCCCAATTAAAATGAGCCGATAAAAGGTCCAGAGTTAATTTCAAGTATGCTATTTGCATTTGGAATCTGTTGCTGTCAACTCTCAAGATGAGATCCAAAGAGCTGTCACTATCAGTGAAGCAAGCCATCATTGGGCTGAAAAAAACAAAACAAACCTATCAGAGAGATGGCAAAAACATTAGGCGTGGCCAAAACAACTGTGTGTAACATTCTTAAAAAGAAGGAACGCACCAGTGAGCTCAGCAACACCAAAAGACCCGGAAGACCACGGAAAACAACTGTGGTGGATGATCGAAGAATTCTTTCCCTGGTGAAGAAAACACCCTTCACAACAGTTGGCCAGATCAAGAACACTCTCCAGGAGGTAGGTGTATGTGTGTCAAAGTCAACAATCAAGAGAAGACTTCACCAGAGTGAATACAGAGGGTTCCCCACAAGATGTAAACCATTGGCGAGCCTCAAAAATAGGAAGGCCAGATTAGAGTTTGCCAAACGACATCTAAAAACACCTTCACAGTTCTGGAACAACATCCTATGGACAGATGAGACCAAGATCAACTTGTACCAGAGTGATGGGAAGAGAAGAGTATGGAGAAGGAAAGGAACTGCTCATGATCCTAAGCATACCACCTCATCAGTGAAGCATGGTGGTGGTAGTGTCATGGCATGGGCATGTATGGCTGCCAATGGAACTGGTTCTCTTGTATTTATTGATGATGTGACTGCTGACAAAAGCAGCAGGATGAATTCTGAAGTGTTTCGGGCAATATTATCTGCTCCTATTCAGCCAAATGCTTCAGAACTCATTGGACGCCGCTTCACAGTGCAGATGCACAATGACCCAAAGCATACTGCAAAAGCAACCAAAGAGTTTTTTAAGGGAAAGAAGTGGAATGTTCTGCAATGGCCAAGTCAATCACCTGGTGGTGGTGTATAGAGCCAAAAATGTTAGAATTGTGTCGATGTTCCAATATTTATGGATCTGACTTAAGTGTAAGCTGTGAAAACTGCCAGTATTGGGGTTTCTTTTTCCCTTCTTGTAGAATTGGAAAAATGGGGGGGGGGGGGGAATATATATATATATATATATATATATATATATATATATATATATATATATATATATATATATATATATATAAAATAGTGTGGTAGTGCCCCATTAAGCAAGACATTCAGGTAATGGTATTTTTGTCTTAAATGACCCATGCATTTGACACCTTTTTGAGGTTACATGACTGCATACAGATGAGGCTGCCCTTGCTTATTAATTTGGTATGAGAAATACAAAAAAGGCCCTAAACTATCACATCTTAATGTGTTCCTAACAAAACCAGGCATTTCAGGTTGAACATGCAAATGATAAAGGAGAGGTTTGGTATAGAGCAGGGCCAAGCTCCGCTCTTAGTAGAAAGGAACAGACCGCACTTGTAGGTAGAGAGAGCATAATTACTTTGCTAGCATCTATACCGACTTTGCCAAATTCTGCTTTGGTAAGAATTGTTCACATCTACAGTATATGGGGTGTGTGTTTTTGTAAATTTTTGGTAAGAGTTGTGAAGGGTGATTGTGGAAATTTTGTGAACATTTTTTCCAGGTAACAGATCCCTCCCTATTAATATAATATATATTATATAATTTTTGAGACATTTTGGATACTTTGCTTGTTTGTATTATGAGGAAGTAAGGTATTATAGAGAAGGACCTATTGAGTGTTTTGGGGTTTTTTTTTTTGTTTTGTTTTTCTAGTGGGGTAAATGTTAAGATTTGCTGTAAAATGAATTTTCAGCAGGTGTATTTTTTTTTTTTTTTTTTGTTCTGTTCAGTTGTTGACAAGCAGAAAATAGCTGAGGAAACTCCCAAAGAAGCTGAGGAAGCCGAAGCCGAAGCAGAAGCTGAAGCCAGCATAGATGCAAGCAAGCAAGGTATTATATATATATATATTTTTTTTTTTAGTTTCCAGAATTGTACTTGATATGTTTTAATACACTGCTCAAAAAAAAAATAAAAGAACCCCTTTTTAATTGGAGTATAGCATGAAGTCAGTTAAACTCCTGGGATTTTGATCTGGTCAGTTAAGTAGCAGAGGGGGTTGTTCAACAGTTTTCAGCTGTTTTGGTGTTAATGAAATTAACAGGTGCACTAGATGGGCAACAATGAGATGATCCCCAAAACAGGAATGGTTTTACACGTGGAGGTCATGGACATTTTTTTCCCTACTCATCTTTGCTGTTTTTTCACTAGTTTTCCATTTGGCTAGGGTCAGTGTCACAACTGGTAGCATGAGGCCATACCTGGATCCTACAGAGGTTGCACAGGCAGTCTAACTCCTCCAGGATGGCACATCAATACGTACCATTGCCAGAATGTTTGCTTTGTCTCCCTGCACAGTCTCAAGAGCATGGAGGAGATTCCAGGAGACAGGCAGTGACTCTAGGAGAGCTGGATAGGACCGTAGAAGGTCATTAACCTATCAGCAGGACCAGTATCTGCTCCTTTGTGCAAGGAGTAACAGGATAAGTACTGCCAGAGCCCTAAAAAAAATGACCTCCAGCAGGCCACTGGTGTGAATGTTTCTGACCAAACAATCAGACTTCATGACGGTGGCCTGAGGGCCCGACATCCTCTATTGGGCCCTGTGCTCACTGCCCGGCACCATAAAGCTCGATTGGCATTTGCCATTGAACACCAGAATTGGCAGGTCACCACTGGCATGCTGTGCTTTTCACAGATGAGAGCAGGTTCACCCTGAGCACATGTGACAGACGTGAAAGGGTCTGGAGAAGCCGTTGAGATTGTTATGCTGCCTGTAACATTGTTCAGCATGACCATTTTGGTGGTGGTGGTCTGGGGAGGCATATCCATGGAGGGACTCGCAGACCTGTACAGCCTTGGCAATGGCACCCTGACTGCCACTAGGTATCGGAATTAAATCCTTGGACCCATTGTCAGACCCTACACTAGTGCAGTGGATCCTGGGTTCCTCTTGGTGCATGAAAATGCCTGGCCCCAAGTGGCGAGAGTATTCAAAACAGTTCCTGGAGAATGAAGGAATTGATACGATTGAATGGCCCCCACACTTCTCTGACTTAAATCCAATAGAACACCTCTGGGATATCCTGTTTTGGTCCATCTGACGCCGCCAGGTTGCAACTCAGCCTGTCCAGGAGCTCAGTGATGCCCTGATCCAGATCTGGGCTGAAATACCCCAGGACACTATCCGTTGTCTTATTAGAAGCATGCCTGACGTCGTCAGGCATGCATACAAGCATGTGGGGGCCATACACGCTACTGAGTACCATTTTGAGTTGCTGCAATGAAACTTCAGCAAAATGGTCTAGCCTGCTGCATTAATTTTTCAGTTTGTAGGTTGCTAATTTTAATTTGCATCAAAGACACCCCGAAAATCAGAGGACTGGATTCAAACGATGGGGCATCTTTTCGTTCCTAACACGTTACCCAGTCCATATCCGTATAGTTATCCAGCATGATATTTTTCCCCATTGAGATCTGATGTGTTTTCAAAAGTGTTCCTTTTATCTTTTTTGAGCAGTGCATTTGGTACAAAAAAAAAATCTAGAAAAAAATTCCTCCGTTTTTAAATAGTCAGCATTTTTTGTTTTGTCCTCACTGTGCATTTTGGGGTTGTCCCCTCCAGAGGGGAGGGTAATGAAATTGGTAACTGAAAATGTTAGACTTTTATAGAAAGGGGCACTGCATGTTAATGTACCGTGAACACAGTAATGCATAGGTTGTTTGTGGCAAAAGTTGGTAATGGTGCTTGCTTTAAAGACGCTCCTTTATGGATGATCCTGCCCAAGAGTCTTTTGCAGTGTCTTGCCATCGTTCCCAAACGGAGACTATTTTGGCTCTTATTGATTCAGTTTGCACCATCTAAAAACTTAACGAGCAGCCTTTAGCCTCTACAAGCGCACTCCCTAGTCTAGCATCCTTTTAGAACTTTTGACAACAGACCTTTCTGGTGCGTTCTCTTTGCAGTCGAGGATTGCAAACATGTGGACAAGAAGTTTGTACATCCTAATCCTATCATCAAAGTGATCACCATTAGCATCCAGACTCTTTGATTTGGCGAACTGCTGCATGAACAACATTGACTAGTGTCCACAGGACTACAGTGTAGTCAGTGTAGGCTACAGTACACCACATTCTTGGTGTTCCTCCACAGCTAGGAATTGAAGGATGTTAAGTACAGGGAAAGTGAAGGGAATTCAATAGAACCTCGATGTACGGTCCAACATTCTGGCAGAATGTCTCGTTGGTCGTGAGGTGGTACACCATCTTGCTGGAAGTAAAATAGCTCATCCACATAAACCGCATGAATGGCCTGTAAAATGGATGTGCGAATGGATGAAACCTAATACTACACAATGCTGCCATAATTTGGTTCAGGTTTTAAAAGGGCATAGATAACTGTTGAAGTGTGTACATTTTTTTGGGCTCCCTCTGTATTTCTGGAAAAGTCAGTCGCTAATAGCCATAAATGCTCAATTTTGCCTTGTACACTATAGAAGTGGAATTTAATTAAAAATGGACTGTTCCCACTCTGGATCTTGCCATTCCAAGCTACTAAACAATCTGTTTCTTACAAACAACAAATGAACCATAAGTGATTCAATGGTGCTGTTAATAAACAAATTAATAATTGACTAATTCATGAAAGTCCATAAATTCATTCCAACATGATAATCTTCTATTTGTTTGCCAAACCTGAATCGCCACGTGTTCAAGAAAAAGCGTTCCCCCTTTTGGGTGTACACTCATCAAATTCCCATGCCTCCCACTCTCATGGTTGGCATATATTGCTTTGAAAAACTCCCAAGTAAAAAGTATGCCAATATCAGTATATCCACAATCCTTGCTTCTCTCTTCCAGAGACATTGGCTATGAAAGAGTAAAAAGGTAAAACTCCAATGGTGCAGTACAAATAACACCTTTTTATTAAATATAGAAATCTAATGTTTCTATTGAGGGCATTCCCTCATTTAAGGACTCAGTTAACTGGTATTTGGAGACTTTTGAAGTCCTCCTTTTTGCTTTGAAAGATCCTACCTGTAATCAGCTAATGTCCAGACTGTCATATTGGATTGAAGTACTTCACAACTTAAATTGTGAGCCATCTCCTGATATAAAGCTTATGTCTCCAGCTCTGATATTCTGTGTAGATGCCATGGAGAGTGTGATTTGTCAAATCTCCAGAATGTAATTACTTTCTGCGCATGTGTGGAATTTTATGGCTAAAGGCTTGCTCCATGGATCAGGCTCGGGATGTGTGCCGTTCAGGCATGCCTTTCATCTTATTGGGACTTCCTTTGAGGAATATTTTGATGTAGCTACTTAGGTAAAAGGGGTTCATATCCTACTATGTGCCTATGTGATCTGATCTCTAGGCCGCCTCTACTGTACTGTAGGTCCTTTTTCATGGCAGACCCTCCACCTCAAAGCCCACCTTATTGAAGCCTTGTACTCGTTGAAAGTTTACCTCCATCCCTGTAGTTGAGGGGAGGGGTTGTCTGACATCTCCTGGCTTGGAACAGAGATGTGAACTCTTCTCTAAATTTTAGGAGGTAAACTGTGCCCAACGCTGTCCTCTCTACTAAATACTGCCTAATCCATCTTGCTACCTTACAAAAGTAGACTGTTTTCCTACACCACTTTGTAGCTTAATTTCAAGGAGTGCCATCTCCTTCCACTTTAGGGAGAATTACAAGGGCCAAATCCTACTCTGCACAAAATCCTATACAGGGACCTTTGTATGCTTAGGGATACATGTCCCGTCATGCCATTCCTTAAAATATCTATTGAAATTACTGCAGTAACTAGGCACCTAGGTGGTCTCCTGTACACCTGTCATATCTCCTGCCAGGTCTCCCATAGACCTGCCACTAACTCTCATATTTTCTAACCTAATAGCAAAAACAATGTGATGTTTTATACTTTCCATCTATTCACACTTGGTGTAGCCCTTAACATGGCTGAGAAAAAAAATCACAGCGCTTTGTAGCGCTACATTAGACACTTTCTTATACCCTTAATGTCCATATCCAAGGGTACATTTAACTTTTTTTTTTTTTATACAAGGCTCCTGAATCAAATCTTTGCCCAAGTGGTGATGCTCACACTTATTCCTTTAGTTGATTTCCCATCCTTTAGGGCTTCTCCACCCAACCTTGTATTGCCTAGGGCAGGGGTAGGCAACCTTTTTAGTAGGTGGAGATCTACCTGAACAACATGGAGATCAAAGATATTTGGAGTGCACTTTTTTTTTTTTTATTTATCAAAAAATAAATTTACTAGCAAGCCCCCAGTAATAAGGATCTAGAATTGGCCACAAGCCAAAGCATCGTGACCACAGCATGCCTCTGCAGCTAAAGGGGGAGTAGAGGAAGATGAAAGAGCGCACAAACCTTGCGCATTACCTCAATAAATGGTGACTAATTTTATTAATAAGGAAATATGCTCACAAAATGATTGTATAACAGGCATAAGTAACCATAATCCAAACAGGGTTACAGGTAAATCAAAAAGGGGGGGGTATGAAGGCTAACGCGTTTCGAAGGGTGCTCCCTTCTTCATCAGAGCTGGGTTTGGCAGATAGAAACTTCAGTATGGCAGAATTCCCATGGCAAGGAGATATTCAGCCACTGGGTGTCAGTATTCCAGCAGTTCAGCCTGTTTAGTGTCAAAGGGGGAGTGTTTGGGATGTGATAAAACTGCAGCTCAGGCAAGGGGTTTTACTACACCCCAACTACTAATGTAAACAAGCTGTAACGCACAGACCACTTTACAAAGTACCACCAAAATGAACTGCTCAGTGCAATTCACCCCCAACCATATTCCTCATGATAAAGATCTCCCCTAAAATTTTTAACTTTTCAGAGTCGGTAAATGTTTATTTGGCCCATTTTGCCTAAGGAAAAGCTGCCTAAAAATTATGAACACCTTGATATAGGGTGTTGATCTCCTTAGGCCACACCCTTCTTCACACAAATACACATCACCTGATATGCTTAAATCCAATAGGCATTTAAGTTTATACAGCTTGAAATTGGACAATATGCATAAAAATTATGAGTTGGTGAAAATATTCACTTGCCTAATTGTACACACATTGTACATTCCATACACAGTACCGGACACCCTCCCATCCATTCCTTGGTTTTGTTTGCTACAAACTGAGGAGTCACAGACGTAGTGGATGAGTGCCCAGGTTTGTATTTTTTAGCTTTATCCTTTTTTGTAGTTCATTGAGGGACGGAGGTCCCACCCCTCTGTTTGCAAAGCAGTACCAAGAGCATGATCAAACTGTTATAACAGAGGTGTCTTTGCTGCAGTGCTTTTAACCTCCCTGGAGGTATTCCCGAGTGTAGCTCGGGGTAAAGTTTCAGCACCACAAGCGGTAACCCCGAGCTACACTCGGGAATACACTGCGGCGCTGATCCGGGATCTCTTCTTCACTTACCTTGTCCTGCGCTCCCGCGATGTCCCCCCTGCAGTGTCCCCGGCAATGTCCTCCGGCCGATGCCGGCACCCGTCTTCTGGGTTCCGTTCCCTGCGAAGTCAGGACATACGGGGACGGAATTGGCGGGAATTTTGAAAATTGTAAAAGTGACATTCACTAAATACACTAAAATCACATAGTAAAACATTACTGTATCAAACCATTTCACATACATTTTGTCCCTAGTGCTTTGTCCTGTGCCCTGCCTGCATTTTTACTGTTCTTTCTGCCTTAAAACTGAGAAGTCCATGGCGTTCAAAAAGCGTCCCTTTAGGTCAAAAGCGGTTTTAGACCAGCTAGAGAACAGTGATAGTAAATTAGAACTACTTGCAGAATTGAGTGATAATGATTCGTGGGGAAATTCGTCATACACTGAAAACGATTTTGCGACTTTGCTCATTGATGTGCGAACTTGGCGCTATATTTCAAATTTCAGTGTTTTTGGTTTGATTTAATTATTGAATTACATTTTTTATTTTTTATGATTATGTATTAAATTATAATTTGATTTCATGTTTCAAATTTTACAATACCCGGAATGTTTACTAGACTCTTGTTTGGACAGATTTCAGTGAGTTATTCCTAAAAGTTACAGGCCTACAATAAAAACAACTACATATTTCCATGCAAAAAAAGTACCGCTTTGAGCACAGAAATATGGACATAATCAGACCGCTAGGGAGGCTACATGGTTATATAAATGTAACTTGGAGCTCTAAGAAGATCTTGAACATGTGGTTTCAGTCTTTGCTTCAGTGTTCTCAATATGTTTTCCAGCTAGCATGAAAGGACGTCTTATCCCTTTTGGTATCGTGGGAATGTCAAACAAAGCAGACTGCCTTCAAAAAGGAGAAACTGTCAAATTCCAGCTCTGTGTCCTAAGCCAAAATGGGCAGACAATGGCCTGCAATATTGAGCCACTACGTAGGGGTACTGTTGAATGTGTAAAAGATCAGGTGAGTTTCTCCAGTTAGTGAATATCTCTTATGTTAGTGATAATGTTTATCAAATATAAGTTGCAAGAGATTTCATAATGCTCATTGACATATTTGTGGAGTGTTTGGTTTAACACAAGGCCTCAAATTCCTTTAAGAATTAAGCCCTGCCTTTTTAATTGTATAATTGGGATTTTATGTGACGGACCAACAGAAAGTGGCACATAATTGTCAAGTGGAAGAAAATGATAAATGGTTTTCAACATTTTTTACAAATATCTAGAAAGTGTGGTGTGCATCTGTATCCAGAGTCCTTTACTCTGATACACCTAACTAAAATCTAGTGAAACCAATTGCCTTCAGAAGCCACATAATTTAGTAAATAGAGTCCACCTGTGTGTAATTTAATCTCAGTATAAATACAGCTGTTCTATGAAGCTCTCAGAGGTTTGTTGGAGAACATTAGTGAACAAACCGCATCATGAAGGCCAAAGAGACACACCAGACAGGAATAGCGTTGTGGAGAAGTTTAAAGCAGGGTTAGATTATTAAAAAAAAAAAAATCCCAAGATTTGAACATCACTGTTCAATCCATCATTTGAAAATGGAAAAAGTATAGCACAACTGCAAAACCTACTAAAACATGGCCATCCAAATAAACTGACAGGTCGTGCAAGGAGAGCTTTAATCAGAGAAGCAGCCAGGAGGCCCCTGGTAACTCTAGAGGAGTTGCAGAGATCCACAGCTCAGGTGGAAGAATCTGTCCAAAGGACAACTATTAGTCATGCACTCCACAAATCTGACCTTTTATGGGAGAGTGGCAAGAAGAAAGCCATTGTTGAAAGAAAGCCATAAGAAGTCATGTTTTCAGTTTGCTAGAAGCCATGTGGGGGCACAGTAAACGTGGAAGAAGGTCCTCTGGTCAGATGAGACCAAATTTTTTACTTTTTACTCTAAAAGCAAAACTGTGTGTGTCGGAAAACAAACACCACACATCACCCTGCACACACCACCCCAACCGTGAAACATGGTGGTGGCAGTATCATGTTGTGGGGATACTTATCTTCAGCAGGGACAGGGAAGCTATTTAGAGTTGATGGAAGATGGATGGAGCGAGCCAAATACAGGGCAATCTTAGAAGAAAACCTTTTAGTCTGCAAAAGACTTGAGTCTGGGGCGGAGGTTCACTTTCCAGCAGGATAATGACCCTAAACCTACAGCCAGAGCTACAATGGAATGGTTTAGATCAAAGCATATTCATGTGTTAGAATAGTCCAGTCAAAGTCCAGACCTAAATCCAATTGAGAATCTCTGGCAAGACTTAAATTGCTGCTCACAGACGCTCTCCATCCAATCTGACCGATTAGTGTTGAACTATCACATAAAATCCCAATAAAATTTACATTTTTGGTTGTAACCTGACAAAATTTTGAAAATTTCAAGGGGTATGAATACTTTTTTGAGCGTGTGTGTGTGTGCATGTGTATATATTTATATAAAAAAAAGTGTGTGTGTATGTGTGTGTGTATATAGGATTTATTACAGGTACTTATATAGCGGTGTCAACTTATGCGGCGCTTTACATATATATTGCACATTCACATCAGTCCCTTACCCCGTCAAGGGACATACAATCTAAAGTCCCTAACTTACATTCATACATACTAGGACCAATTTAGACAGGATCCAATTAACCTACAATAATGTCTTTGGAGTGTGGGAGGAAACCCACACATGCACAGGAAGAACATGCAAACCCCAAGCAGGTGGTGCCATGGTTGGGATTCGAGCAAATGACCCTAGTACTGCCAGGCGGAAGTTATGCACAGTGGATCTAAAAAGTCTACACGCCCGTTTAAAATGTCAGGTTTCTGTGATGTGTAAAATATGACAGATAAATCATTTCAGAACTTGTTCCACCTTTTAATGTGACCTATAAACTTTACACCTCAATTGAAAAACAAACAAATCTTTTAGGGGAAAAGTAAACATAAACTAAAATGCATAATTGTGCATGCCCTCTTATAACTGGGGATGTAGCTGTGTTCAGAATTAAGCAATTGCTTTCAAAATAATGTTAAATAGGAGTCAGTACACACCCGCCATCATATAAAGTGCCTCTGATTAACCCCAAATAAAGTTCAGCTGTTCTAGTAGGTCTTTCCTGACATTTTCTTAGTCGCATCCTACAGCAAAAGCCATGGTCCGCAGAGAGCTTCCAAAGCATCAGAGGGATCTCATTGTTAAAAGGTATCAGTCAGGAGAAGGGTACAAAATAATTTCTAAGTCATTCGATAGCGATACCATGGAACACAGTGAAGGCAGTCATCAAGTGGACAAAAATATGGCACAACCGTGACATTACCAAGAACTGGACGTCCCTCCAAAATTGATCAAAAAACGAGAAGAAAACTGGTCTGGGAGGCTGCCAATAGGCCCTACAGCAACATTAAAGGAGCTGCAGGAATATCTGCCAAGTACTGGATGTGTTGTACCATGTGACAGCAATCTCCCATATTCTTCATATGTCTGGGCTATGAGGTAGTGGAAAGACTGAAGCCTTTTCTTGCGAAGTAAAACATACAAGCCCGGCTAAATTTTGCAGAAACAGATCTGAAGTTTCCCAAAAGCATGTGGGAAAATGTGTTGAGCTCTGATGAAACCAAGGTCTAACTTTTTGGCCATAATTCCAAAAGATGTTTGACGCAAATACAACACTGCACATCACCAAAAGAACACCATACCCACAGTGAAGCATGGTGGTGGTAGCATCATGCTTTGGGGCTGTTTTTCTTCATAATTCCCTTTACCTTGACTAAAGCCCCAGTTCCAGATGAACAGTTGCAAATACCAGTCAATATTGGCACAAAACCTTCAGGCTTCTGCTAGAAAGCTGAACATGAAGAGGAACTTCATCTTTCAGCATGACAATGACCCAAAGCATACATCCAAATCAACAAAAGAATGGCTTCACCAGAAGATTAAAGTTTTGAAATGGCCCAGCCAGAGCCCAGACCTGAATTGAAAATCTGTGGTGTGATCTGAAATTGCTATGCACAGGAGATGGCCTCGCAATCTCGACAAATTTTGAGTGTTTTTGCAAGGAAGAGGGCAAATATTGTCAAGTCAAGATGTGCCATGCTGATACTCATATCCAAAAGACTGAGTGCTGGAATAAAATCAAAAGGTGTTACAACAAAGTATTAGTTTAAGGGTGTGCACACTTATGCAACCATATTTTAGTTTTTTTATTTTTACTTCCCTTCACCTAAAGGATTTCAGTTTGTTGTTCAACTGAGTTCTGCAGTTTATAGGTTACATTAAAGATGGAAAAAGTTCTGAAATTATTTATCTTTGTCTCATTTTAAGTGCTCCCTGGTCATCAGTCGCCCCGGGCTTCTCTAGCATACCCTGTATACCCTATAATTGTGTTAAGCAAAGTACATTCATGCCAATAGGCTTTATACAAAGTGTGTGGGGAGGAAATTGCATATGTCTGCATTAGTTACTGTATTTTTGCTTGAATGTAACTGGTAAAGTATCACTTTTAAGCTTTTAATTGAATTTGAAAATGTAAATGCATTGTGTAAAATCACGTGAGTAAATGTTACCACATTATTGAGCTGTTGAGTCTAGCTTATTTGTCTTTTTTTTTCTCTTTTTAGTTTGGCTTCATTAACTATGAAATCGGTGACAGCAAGAAACTTTTCTTCCACGTAAAGGAAATCCAAGATGGAGTAGAGTTGCAGGCAGGGGATGAGGTGGAATTCTCAGTTATTCTTAATCAGCGAACTGGGAAATGTAGCGGTTGTAATGTTACATTATTAAGGTAATTCACTTATTTGTGTGGCTTTGTTTTTGCTTGTGGTTTTTTTTTCTGCCTCCATTAAAGCTCAACTCCAGGCAGAAATGTAAACCGCTGAGCTGTAGTTTTTTTAGACTGTATTTTTATGTACAGCTTACAAAGGTACCAGAATATTTTTTTTATTATCGGCTTTGCAACTCCGTAAACTGCTACTTGATTGATGTTTTAAAGTGCACTTCCAATTTTGCAGTCAAATTTGAGAAAACCCTACTATGTTATGCCTTCACAATTCAAAAGCATACCTTGCCTTTTTAGATGGTTTTCAGAAGAGAGCCTTGTAGCTAGCTGCATGGCTTTCTGAACAATGTCAGTCTGTCCTAAGGACAGGTTGTGTTTTCTCTCAATCATTGCCCACCAGAAGGTTTTAACTCTTCACGACTAGGGCATTTTTTTTTTTTCGCTATTCAGCACTTTGCTACTTTAACTGGCAATTGCACTGTACGCCAGGAGTGTAAAACTTGTGGCCCAAGACAACTATGAATGCGGTGAACACATGCAGCCGACACAAAATTTGACAGCATCTCTTTACTGGACTTTATAAGTTTTATCTTCCCAAAGAACAATATCCCACTCTTCAAAGTAATGCCTTATTCGTGTCATCAATTTTCTGCAAACCCTATTATTTGTGAGCAGATATTTTCAAAGATTAAGCACATGAAGGGGCAAAATTAGAACCAAAATATCTGATAAGCACCTTGAGAATTCATTGAGCATTGCTGCTACATCCATCGAACCAGATATTGATGAATTAGTTTATTCAAGACTGTCGAATATCACACTCCTATCACAACATATTTTTATGTTGCCCTCCTTTTTACTTTGTAATAAAACCTAATTTTATTATAACAGATCAGTACATTATATCCGTGATTGTTAACTTCTGATTTGCCCAGCTTTTTCTGCTCATCAGCGTTTTATATTGTTAGTGTTGGCCAGCTCTCTTTTGAGGGTATTTTAATCACCACTGGCGGTTTTTTTTTTACTTTTTGCTAATAAATTTACCTACGCAAATTCCCCACTTTCACAATGTGTACAAAGCTGCAAACACTTTAGGAGGACATCCTCTCAATAAAATTAAAGAGCAATTAAATGTTGTGCTATGTGTAAAAGAAAAGTTCTGTTTAAACAAACATAATTATCGTGTAGTGTGAGTCCATGTGAGTGATAACTTCCACAAGCAATTCGTGAAAAAAGACATCCGTTTCTTGAATACAATATCAATGATGTTCTTCTTTTCATCCAACAAATCATCAACGTGACCGGACCACCACATGTGCAAAATGGAGGCTTGCCAGATAAAACCCCTTATTATAGTGGGTCTTTGGCTGTATATAGATGTGGCTCCATCCGGACCTTTATATCATAACCAGGACCCAGATTCCACTTAGGTCAGTAAGCCATTCCCATAGCGGTATCAGAACAATGTCATGTAAAATAAAACTTATTATACAGGATTTATATAGCGCCAACAGTTTGCTCAGTGCTTTACAATATAACATGAGATAATATAGCAACAATACAGTTCAATGCAAGATGGATAGGAGGGCCCTGCTCCTTGGAGTTTACAATCTAGGAGATGCTTCTCATAGTGCAGTAAAACTAATGTGCCTCTATTACGCAAAAATAATCCTACTCAGAAACATAAAAAGGAATATCCGCATTCATATACACCTTCCTAGATGGCGGTCAGAGGGAGGCTCCCTCTACTTGCGACCCTGATCCTACTCTTCTTGGGTCTCCTGCTGGCTCCTCCCGGCTCCTCCTTTCTGGCGAGTTCCCCCATAGAAAGGTGCTTTGTGTGTGGGCACTCATGCAGGCTCGCTCTGAGTCCTGATGTGTGCATCTATGGACATAGACAGCAGGACTTGGCCCTGCCTCCTGCTCCCTTGTCACTGGCTTTGAATGACAGCAACGGGAGCCAGTGGCCCCTGCAGCCTCAGGAAAGCCAGTGAGAACAGAACGTGAGGCAGAAGAAAAGCTGCAGATGGGCACTGCACCAGATCAAATGAGGTCTTGGGTATGTAAAAATTGGATATGAGAGGAGCAACTTATGCCTAAACATGAGTTTTTTTTTTTTTTTTTTTTACCTTTTTAATGCAAGGAATGCCTTTTTAAGGTAGAAAATGTTTAGGCTTTATAACTGCTTTAATTGTACTGCTTGAAATTCATAGACTGTAGGTTATAGGCTGGTGCCTTCAAGTGTATGTACACTGGCAAAGCTTTGAGAACATTGTCCTTGAGTGCCAAACCTCCCACCCCAAAATTATCACCCCATTTTGAATCATGTATGTGTTGTGTGTGGTGGGGCTTTTTTTTTTTTTTTTTTTTTTAGCTAATGTCCTGGCTAGTTTTTTACTTTGGATTCTTCAATCACCTCCTTTACCATCCTCCTAATACAACAATAAAAGCAGTTCAACCGAACTGGTGCAACCTCAGTAAAACCTTAAGTACCTTTGAACCCAGATCCTGAAGACCCCCTTCTGGTGTGGAAGATAGGCAGGCAGACTTTCCCAGCTATCAACAGCTACTGTAAATCTGGAAGAATAGGCCCTTTACCTGTAGGTGTTTGCAGATATTTGTCTGTGAAGGGGAACATTATGTTGATTTCTTCTTATCCCAAGCATCCTAAGGAGAGGGTGCTTCACTCTTTGGATGTTAGAGCTGTTTGAATGTATTTTATTTTGACGGTCTTGAGTCCCTGTTTTGTTCTCCCTTTGGTTCCTCGCAAGGGTCAGGTTGCTTCTTGATCCCATATGTCTAGGTTGATTCGTTCATTCATTTCTCAGATCTGTGTTACCCGGGAAAGGTGAAACCTTGCCCTTAAGTCCCACTCATCCAAAGTGTCAATGCTTTCTGGGCTATTCAGTTTCAAGCTTATGTTCATGTTTGTGAGACTGCTAACAGGTAATTTTTACACTCCTGCAGATGCCAGTATTGGGTGGAAGGTCTGTCAGAACTTTTAGCTCTGAAAAAATAATCCGTATATATTTTATGAAAACATGTGGGGATGTGGAATTAAGGCGATTTCCTTACTAATTTTCATATAAATCAACTTTGTGCTAATTCGAAGATAATAAAAAGCAATAATGTGCAAAAATATATATTAATAATAAAAATCAGTGCAAAATGGTAATTAAAAATATAATTGATTATTGATCAACAAATAGCAGTACAATGATCTCATCAACCATAATAGTTAGAAATTCAAGCCAGCATTTATTTTCAAATATTAATGAAATAGGACAAACTGTCTAAAAATGTAGTGTAGGAAACGAACAGTAACTCAGTAGCATATAACAAAGGCTATGCGACTCGACCACGTGATCTCTCTACAGCCAGATATTCAAAGCTCAACGTGTACCTTGGCATGAATTGATTTAGAATATTGTACACAAGGACAATCCAATAAGCTTGGAATCTAAGGTCAAGAACAAATGTTACTTGTCTATTTTGAAATATCCCCAAAGCTTATTTTGGCTTCTAATCAATGATTTAGTTGGGTATATATGACATGGAGAATCCTCCACCAGAGAATTGATATGAAGATAACTTATACTGCAGTTAAAATTATTTCAAATCGGCTGCAATGCTTACCATAACCGATATCCAATTAAATGGTTTAGCTGGAGATATAAGGTGAGCACAAATTGCTTGAAGAAAAACTTATTGTATTAAGGTGCCACCCTGTATTAAGATTGCCAGCATTTGGGCATAAGATCCTTCAGATGCCTCCTGAGCTGCAGGCAGTCCCCAGCTCTTGTGAGCCTGTTACCGGGTTTTTTGTTCCTTTTTGCCCACCCACTAGTTCGACTGTTTTTGATATTTCAACAGAATCCAAATTCCTATTCTTTCAACATGAGAAGACATTTTGTGACGTTTGCACCTACTGTAAAATCCATTTCTTGGAGTCTGGTGCAGAGACAGAGATCCACACCCCCTTTTGTGTCTGTGATCATGCTCTTGGTACTTATCCACAAAACTAGGGGTAGGCCTAAACTGGAGCAACTTTTTTTTTTTTTCCCTCAATTAACTGTATAATCCACTAGTCAGTAAATGCATGTGTTCCTGCATGATTTTATGGTAAGTACAAAAACGCCATTGATGATGCATGCAAGTATGCTGTAATGGAATGCCTTACAATTCTATTAAGATTGTATAATGCACAAAAAAAAGATTAATCTATTAAATAAGGTTTTCAATTCTATTTTTTTTCCCTCTCAGCAAAGGCCCTGAAATGGTAGCAGCCCCACGTCCTGACAGGCTGGTGAGTCGGCTAAAGAGCATAACGTTGGATGATGCCAGTGCACCCCGTCTTATGGTCCTGCGTCAGCCTAGAGGTCCGGATAACACAAAGGTGTGTGGAGTTTTTGTATTGGTCTGACTTGGATGTTTAACTTAAATATCTTTTATCTAAATTTTAAAAAATGTTTTCTTTCCTGACCATTGAGGCATACAGGGGGCTTAAACTGTTGGGTTTTATGGACACATGTAAGAAAATTGGACAATGGCAAACAAATGGTATAGGCTAGCCTAGGATAACCCCTCTTACTTTCCAGTATGTCTGTTTTTGCTGGTGTCCAGGAAGTCCAACCATTTTGCTAGCTTCTGTTTCTTTAATCCGGATCCATACTACTGAGTTAGCCAAATCTGCATTTCTTAAGCCGGACTCAGAGTGCCCTACCCGAACTTGGGTAGACTTTGTGCAACTACAGCCTGGCTTGTGATCTTCAGGCAACAGTTTAGCCTTGAAAGCCTAAAGCTAGCAAGTTTCCTATATGCAAAGTCTCTCCCAACATGGACATCATGCTTTGCTTGGTGCAATGCGAGAGGTTTTCGCCTGAGGAAATTATCCATTGGGACAGATACTCTCCTTACATGTGGGCCTGGTTCAGCTTTTGGTCTTCGGCACCATTAAGGGTCAGTTCTGTGCCTGAAACAGTGTTCCAGAGACTGTTGGCATCCCTTTCTTTCGTCAGCACCTTAGTGCAGCTTAACTGCCATGTTTGCTCCACTGTAACTCTGTGAATCTCAATTTTGGTTCTCCCAACACTTCAGAAACCACCTTTTTGAACCCATCAAGGCCATTTCTGTTTGCACTAACAACGTTGTGTTTCTTGACGCTATTACCCCTGCAAGGTGCGTGTTTGAGCTTGTTCAGATAGAACGTCATTCAAGCTTATAGTTTTAAGTGCCGGTTCACATATATGCGGACTGGGTGCGGTTTGAACAGCATCCAATCCGCACAACTACGCAGAGCCATACAAAGCAGGGCGCAGGAGCTGACGGGAGAGTTCTGTGTTTTAGACACAGGTCTCTCCTCTGTCGGTGATCACCAGGTGCTGGCGAGGAATCACCGTCTGGAACCCGGTGATTGACAGCTGAGACGGAACTGCAAAATTGTGTGTGTGGTTGGGTGTGTGGTTTTGCACACCCTTGCCGCCCTGTAGCAGTATTTCTGCTATAGGGCGGCGCGGAAGCAGTTAATAGTTTCTAAACGAGCTGAAGAGTGCCTTTTTAAGGGCTTCAAGCTTGCTGTTCACACTGCTGTTATACAAACTCAAACATATGTATACCGGGCCTTAATGGACTACTCCTTGATCTGCTAATGATCAGGCAGTCTGTTGTAGTATATGACGTGAATGTTCAGTACCAGGCAAACTAAAGGCTTAGATTTATTAAATGTAAACAAAACCAGACTGCAGCATGGGGTGGGTACCTGGATGCAGGATGAGCTCTCACCTGGTGTATGATCACAAGTTACATGTGTTGAAAAGGGTGTTTTTAGGTAATTTTAGTATGCCATTTCACTTTTCTCTTAAATATGTGTTTCCAAGATACTATAGGTTGTAGGAGAATAGCTGAGGTGTCCAGCAACCCAGAACTGCACTAATATAGGGGGCTTGTGTATGAAAAATGCTTTACCAGTCTTTTTTTTTCTTCCACACTAACCAGGTTTGTTTTGTACATAGCCAAAAGATTTGAGCTAACTAGTAGGGTTTTACCATCCAGAATGCAGCAAAACTTTCAAAATTAAAATGCCAATGCCAGAATCCTGTATACTCTTGCTTTTTGGAATTTGCTGCAAGTTGACACACATATTGGCCCCCTTCAGCCATTTATTTCATCTGAATGCATTCTGGCCATTGGGGAGCTCTGTGGTCTAATCCAGCAGAGTACCTATTAAAAAGGTTTTAGCCATATGTCCTCAATCTATTTTTCTAGGTTTAGGATTGTGTCCTAAAGCAGTTGGTTTCTATTAGATATTCGTGTGAGTGCTTGATTTGACATGCATCTGGCTTAATTGTTTTTCACATTTTTACCCATACAGGGATTTGGCACAGAGAGAAAGATCCGTCAAGCTGGTGCCATCGACTGAATTTTTTTTCCCATCCACAAAAGCACATTACCTAATCAAGTATAATACCATGGGGTATTGCGAAGAGCAACATCTCTCTTTGCTGCCCCTGAAATTGGAGATTTTCTATATAACAGTTACATCTATTTTTAACACCTTCCATCTTGCGTTCATCTCGGGGAAAATTCCTGAAACCAATCCTTTTGTTTTTCGTTTATTTTTTTTTAAATTATGCACATTTGCAAGTGAGAATTTAAGTTGAAGCCTTAGTATATTCTGTTTCCTTTTAAAGAAGCTTTGATTTGAATTGTGCATCTTAACACACAACCTTATTATTTTTTTTTTTTTTCTCCCCCCTTATGTCCGATTTATAAAAGTGTGACTTAACCCTTTGAAATTCTGCACTTGACACTGTTTAGCATATATTCTACCTCCTTTACTGCATTTTTTTTTTTCTCTCCCTTCTGCAAGAGGACCACATACTGATGGTGGAATATATTCTATTCAGCAATGCTTTGAAGCGCTCCTTTTTCATTGAATGACAGCCAAATGCTCACTTTTTTATATATCAAGATTTTGAATATTTTATTCAAGTGAATGAACCGAAGCTGTTTAGAATTGAAAGCATTTTTTTTTTTTTTTTTTTTTTTTTTCCTGTTATGACTTTAGAACTGCAGATATCCTCAAGGGTGACATGTGCCATCAGTGTGAAGTTTAAAAATCTTTGAAAACGCACAGGGTTTTTTTTTTTCGTTTTTTTTTTCTTTTTTGCTGCTTCCATGGGCAGCTTCTAAATGTTCATGAAATGTAAAGGAAAATAAAATGTGCCTCAATTTTATTTTATTCAGTTTACAAAAACCACTCATACCATTAATTCTTTAGGCTTTTCATAGCTATACTGATCTTTGCATCAGCATAAATAGACAATTGGGTTTTTTTTTTTTTCTTTTTTCTTTCTCTAACCTGCCATTTCCCAGGCAGGTCTGTGGCTCTAACTTTGAAGCCTTTTCCCGCTTTCCCCTCCAGTAAGATTTTGCTGCCCATCACAAATTCTCAAGCCAGGAAGTACATTTATTCAAAGTATTTTAAACCAGAAAGATCAAGATTTATTTCTTCCTGGATTGATGGAAGAGTTCTTGTGTTTTTCTATTTTTTTTCTACTTCTGTGATTTAGGGGTTCTTCTGTTAAGAGACCTACCTTTGTAAAAACAAAAACTTGGCTCCAGATTTTCTGTTTAATGGCAAAAAAATTGAAAAATAGAATAAAGTTTTACCAATTTAATTTTGAAATCCCTGGTCTTTTATTTAACTATACTTGATGCATATTGTCAGCCAGTAACTTTCAATCACAAAATGAGCATAGGCAAAATTGGGTACATTAATTTACGGACGTGTGGACAACAAAACCACAATTATGTTGAGACAACATTGACACTATCAAATAGGGTGTGTTCTAAAAGCAATTTGAACATGTAGTGCAATTCAACTTTTGTCAATGCACATCTAAATGTAAATACCGACACTCAACAGATCGTAATAATTTGAACATATATAGCATTTACACAAACTGTCCTTTGCTACCAAGTCTTCAGGTTTCTAGGATACACTTTTTTTTTTTTTTTTTTTTTTTTATTTTGGTGCTAGTGTTTAATCCAATTAGAGCCTATCCATAATGAAATGGCTTGGATACATTCTTGTAGTTAAACATTTGAATTAACACATCCTGAGTCATCTCAATGATTTTGCATATTCTTTGTAGCATATAGGTTGCCTTTTTAAAATGTCATTAAACTCAAAACATAAAAATTCAATATATGTTGCCAAACGCATATGTTTAGCTGTTCAATGTTAGAAGTCTATTGTAAGTTTGTTGAGCTGGCAGGATCATCAGGTACTTGGAGTCCTCAATGCAGAGTGGTAGGGAATCCCCATTTTGCCCCTCTGCCTGTGCATGCTCCAAGATATTGATATTAGGAATCTTTCTTCCCCACTTGACTTTCCTTAACCTCTAGACTTCAACATCACACAAATGTGTGGCCTCACAGAACTGGGCTTTTTTCCGTGGGGCCGCATATTTGCGTACTTGTCTTTCTGTGCTGGGAGCGTACTGCACAGTGCGCTCCCAGCACCAAGACCAGGGTGTCACCGAGAACCCCAGGTCCTGTTCTAACAATCGGGACCCGGGACTCCTGATTCCGGGTCACATGATTGCTGTGATGGCCTGTGATTTGCTCACAGTGATCAGTCACTGTGAAGCCTGCCCCCCTTCATTTTTTTTTTTTTTCCTTTGCAAGGAAAGAGATGAGATATAGATATATATATATATATATAGAGATATATATATATATATATATATATATATATATATATATATATATATATAGAGATATATATATATATAGATATAGATATATAGATAGATAGATAGATATATATATATTCAGTACCAGGGTTAGTGTTTGGATCAAAGGTCGGGAATTAATTTTTTTTTTTTTTTTAAATTGGGATCAGTGTAAGTCAGTGTCTGTGTTTTTAGGTAAACAAGAACAAAATGTGCACTATTGTTTCTAGGCTGTAGTACAGGTACAAACCTACATATATATGGCATCGCTGCAATCATCGAGAGCTGGAAAATTTATTTTGGGTTGTTCTCTGGTGGTAGGTTATGGTAGTAACAAGAAACGCACAGCTACAATTTAAGAAAAAAAAAAAGATTTTTCTTTTTACTATTTTGGGCCAATTTTCCTTTGATAAAAAAAAATAATCAGGAGATATCCATTATCATTTACCACCAAGTGAAAGCCCAATTTGTCCTGAAAAAACAAGGTACAATCCACCTGGATGTACAAAGTAGTTGTGGTGATATGTACGGTTTTACTAACATGTAAGTTGTAAAATTTTACTTAGGCTTTAAGATTTGTTTTACCCTTAGGCGTAAAGGGGTTAATGGCATATGGAGCATGTCAAAGTTGCTGATTTTCAGAGGCGCATTTCTTTGCTCCTTTATCCCTTCCACAAGGAATGCTTCCTAAATTTGGCCATAATGATTGAGCCCCCTTGCATGACATTAGTGTCAATCACTTGCCAGAGAACCAGTCGAATCTAGCAGGTACCGGACGAAAGTGTAAACTCCCTGTAGTGACATGGGCTAGAGTGGCACAGGCTGAAAATATGTTCTGCCTACAGATTTCTCAGTTATTGCAGCAACTGAAGATAAAGATCATGTAACAAAGACAGAAAAATAAGGTATCTAGAATGATTTTCATACAGCAAATAGGAGTTTCTAGCATACACTGCTTAGATTATAAAGCATATCTTCATGGGTTTAGATACACTTAAACTGGTATTCATTGTTTTATCACCTGTAAGCCAACATTCATAACAATGCATAAAGACAATTTTTTGGTACCTTTTTTTAGATCGGTGCTTCATTCCTCTGGAAAAGTAAATTAAGCCATTGTTTCATGTATATGCGCATGCTTTTGGTTTGTCTTGGATTGTAGCCAACCAATACTGGATTTGGCTGCAAAAGGTAAACTGACCCCTTTTGTATCGTTTGTATGTCTATCAATGGTGGATCCGTGGCTTTATTTTATTCACACAGTGCCGTTTATGAATGGCACTGTGTTTATGCCACTATAGCGATCGCCCAGCAGATTTGCTGCCCAATGGTCATTTATTCAAACACACTCAGGCTGAACTGGATGGAATGGTATCTTTATTCAACCTTGCCAACTATGTATTACGATCAAGGAATTCTGAAACATACTGTCTGCTGTGAAAAAGCTCTATCTCAGTTGCAGGTCATGGGTCCTCCAGCAAGATGACGTCCAAAAAGTGCACAGCTAAAAGCATTCATGGCTAAGGGCAAAATCTTGGCATGTTATGAATTCTTTCTATGAGCCCCTGATCTATCAACATCAATGGAAAGATGAAACTTGCAGTGAGGAGAAGGAGAAAACCTGAGACTGTTGGAGCAATCTGCACATCCGTATATTCATATGCAAGGTGGAAATGCTCTCATTGATACACTAGATGGCCAATGGCTGTGGGGTGTGTCAAGGTGTTGTCAAGCATATTTTAACCAAGCTGTTTTGTGGCATTGGCTCAGTAAAGGCTTCTTTCTGGCAATTTGACCATGCAGCTCATTTTAGATTGGGCAACTGCATCTCTCTGTCACTATACACAGATCTGCATGTCCTGCATAGCGAAGCCCATTCAATTCAAAGGGCTGCCCTATGTGTGCAGCTTATACTTCTTTTTGGGGGACAAGCTTTGCATGATTTTTTAAAGCTCATTTTACCCTGTTCATGGTGATTCTGTCACATGACAATTGTAGTAAAACAATGGCACCCAAACACACATTGCACATTTGGCCTCTTCTATATCAATCAGTCAGGGGGCAGGCTGTGCTTGTTGGGAAATGTGGCACTGCAGATTGCACCCCAAAGGCATCCCCTTTCTGCCTTCTTCTTTGGGGCCCGGATAACTTTTTTTTTTTTTTTTTTTTTTGGACTTGTTTTGCCTTTTTTGAAGAGTGAAAAACAATGTATTTTCAGAGGTTGTTTGACTGTAATGGATTGTGATAGACAATCCACGTTTTATTAGATGATCAGTAAAATGACAATTTTATAGTCTTGCTACTTTCTGCTTCTTGCTCTTTAAATTCCTTACTCTCTTAAGTAAACAATCAGCTATAGGTTGACAGAACAATGATGATAATCAAGATTGCGCCTTCAGCCGGAGTCTCACCCTAGGTGACTCATTAGGAGAAAAGTATCTTTTAATGTAAACAACCCCCATAAAAGGGAATGAGTCTTTTTGGGGACAATGATTGGAAGATATCAACACGGATGGAAGAACATGCATAAACCCAGTGGACTTTTCACCCAATCAATGTATATGCTTTGCCTGCATCATAAGCCCTATAAATGATTCTGTTAGTCCCTTGAAAAGACAACAGGGAGAACTATGCCACTCACCCTCACCATAGAGAACCCCAGCCCAGGAGATGCGGGGCT